GCAAAGTATTTACTAAATCAAGTGCACTAGCAGTTCTGAACGCACAGCAAGTTCCCCTCACTTGAATATTCTTCTCTCCAGCTGTAAAACCTACTTGAATGGTTGGCAAGAGCAAGTTCTAAAATTATATGTACTTTGTCAGGTTCTACAAACAGTAAACAAGCTTCTGGCAGGAGAGTCCAGGAGGAAATTTACTGTTCAATAGTGGTATCAAGTTGAAAGCAAGATTCAAGGTGGGTATTTTACAAGAAAAAAAGAAAGTTTGTTCATGTAAGGATTTTTAATATCACAACAACAAGAAAAAATCACCAATAGTTTACTAAAAGGTTTCTAGCTAACAGAATAAACAAGAAGGTCAGTTATCTTAAAAGTGTTATATAACCACAGAGATTAGGTCAGTTCACTGGGTTCATAGATAAAATTTATTAAAAATAATCCATCCTCTACTTATCCAAAGAACCAAAACATTTTTTAAATTTTTTTAAGGAGGAATAAACATTGACAATTTTGCAACTGTGGTAATAGCATATATATATACTCAGTGCACAGATTGTCAGGTCTCCTCAACTGTCTTAAAAGCTTTACTGCATAAGTTAAAAGAATATTCACATCTCAGCACAATACAGAAGAAAACTGCTAAGCCTATAAGACTGATAATAATTTAAAGTGTTTACTATTCTTGTGGTTTTTTACATGAGAATAAAAGTTTTCTGCAAGACAAGCAGCAAAAAGTCAAATAACAATTAAAGAAAACTTCAGATTCCTTTCCTACAGATACTTACTTGGGAAATTTTCAGACTCAGAAAATGAGTGTGTTGGGAGCATAAGGAGAATTGATTTTTTTCCCAATACATGCATGAGACAAATTAACAGCAGAAAACTCAGGGGAAGAGCTGCAGTAGATTACAAATTGCAGATAACACCAAAATCCGACAAATCTGGCAGAGAACACTAATTTGGAGATAAGAGTAGAAGGAACTCAAACACAAACTTTCAGGAAAAAGAGTAGTTGTATTTTAACTGGCAGGATGTCAAAGTATTAAGTCACCTCAGTAGCTCTATCTGGAATTTAAACAAAGTACTGAAGTGAAACATTTTTGCTGTTTCAATGAGGAGATGTTTCTTCATTAAACGTTATTGCAGTATGAACATGCAAAATGCACATTTGAGTGTTTTCTCTTTCTTGAACTTTTCAGAGAAATTTATCAAAATATACCAAACATAAGAAAAAAAAAAGTAGCAGCAAAGGCTATTTTTATCTGATGATCTGTGCTTCAGGACTGAACTTAATTCACTTTTTCTTTTACTATTCCTCCTTACCCTCACAAAGTAAGCACAGTCTACACCTGTAACTAGAAAGCCTAAGGAAAATGCTTAACAAACAAAACAGCTGAATTCCTATAAAGTTGAAGGGGAAAATAGCTGACTAGACTCTCTGCAAGTCATCAAAAATAACTGCTGGTTCCCACTATGAAGTTATGAATTCTCTTCTTTACATTCATATCCAGGAGAATATATTCAAGACTACTTATTACATAATACAAACTAATAAGGATACTCCAGCTGTAAACAGATTTGCAACCATTTTAACAGCTTTGTCTAGAACCTTTCTATTATGCATGAACCCTAGGAATTACTTTGTCAACTCTCTTCTAACATAATAACAGATATTATCAGATCATTAAGTATAACCACTATCTCAACAATTTACATGTTTCAGTTTCTATCTTTTTAAAGCAAAGCACATGTCCCAGTAAACTTTTTATCTGTTTACAACTCTCTTTCATATTAGAATCAATTTAAATGAGTATTGTTTTCTCTAGACATTTTTCTCTCAGATGATTTTATAAAGGCTTCCAAAATTCAAAATCAATTTCCAAGTTAAACAACTACAAAAATTTGTAATTGTCAACTTCCTAATATTCCAAGCTCAGCATATAAACAAGCATGAATTACTCTGTTGCAGAACCTCCTCATTCATGAGCACAGGTACAAAGCTGGCCTGACATCAGAACAGCTTTAGAACTCAGCCAACACAAAACTCACACTTTTAGGTTATGACATAAGGGAACGGCTGACACAAGCAGGACAGAATTGGGAACTTGCTCTTGAAGCTCACAGGCATTAAACTGAAATCTTAGTTTCGGGAAAATAAGCAGGGAGGGTAAGTAAGCAGTTCCATGCACATGATCACTGCCACTGCTGACAACCTTTGGAAGTTACTGGGTTACTGCTGCTGTCAAGATGCTAAAGCAAGAAATTTAGGAACACACAAACTAGTCTTGAGAATTAGGAAATAAACTTAAACTGCCACTATCACTTCTGGCACAAATCTCTTCAGCAGTACGTCTTCTATTCTACTTTTTTATTACCAGGTTTTTTATATACCAAGTTAAAAATATCCCTACTGCCAAATTATTGTAAGACTTTACCCTGAAAACTTGATTTGCACAGTTACACCTATCCACATGTGTATGAAGTCACTTAAACAAGGGCAGGAAAAAAATATCTGAACGTTCCTAGAATGCCTTTTGGCAACGGTTGTGAACTTGGAACAGTTGTCCAAGCTTTAGTGCTTACACTCAAGGAATGCAACTCTGCTGTTCAAATACCAAGGTAAGACACACACACACACACACACACACGGAGACCCCAAAGCAAAGTGGAGGGGGGGAAGCCAAACTATATTCAGTGAACAGGAGAACGTATATTACATTACAGCTAGACCCACGTGTTCATAGAATAACCAGTGCACAGTGGATTCTCACTTTCAGGTTACTTAAACATCAGTTTGCTAAAAACATTTGGTGTAGAAGAGAGTACAGGAAGAAGTACAAACACAGTCATGAGAAAAATGGAGGTAAATTCATAAAATAGAGTTGTTCAGAGCAATGCAGTCACAAAGAGCAAAGACTAACAGCTTCAAGTGTCTTTCCCAGTCGAGAATTTGGATAGGCTTGTTCTTATTACAAGTCAATATTACGAGAAAGAGAGAGAAGGTATTTTTCCTAGGATTATTTTAACTTGCAAGTATGCATCACAGGGAGAACAACAGTATAGTAAACCACAGAGAGAGGACACTGTAAAAATTTGGGCAAAGACAGCTTTGGAAATCATACAATCAGCAAAATATGTTTCTAGAAATATTACAATACACATTGTGCATGATAGTCACTATTACAAGGCAAAGAATTTCTAGGACAGACATACCAATACTAAACAGAAGCAAATATGAGACAAGCTCCATTTTTCTGGACACTGTATGTTTTATTTTCACAGTTGTTGCAGACAGATGCAGAGTCACTGTGTTTGAAGCTATGAATTTCAAGCTACCTGCAGTTTTCCCATAGCAGAACTCCTTCCCATTTTGACAAGTTTGTAGCAAGTTTACATCTGCTTACCAACCAAAGAGACAAGACATCAAATTTAAGGCAGTTAGTCAGTGAAAGGCTTATCTTAGAAAAAATTATAGTGGCAGCTGGTGAATTCTCTAGGGGCTTATTTGTTCTACTTCACAAAGGTATGTTTCCTATAAAGCACAATTTTTTTTTTTTTAAATTTTACATTACAGGTTATTGACATTTCCTTAAATAGAGAAACAGTACTGAGGACTATCTGTTTTCAGATCTGTCATACCAACACATCCTTCATTCTAATAGCTGTATCTGCAAAGAAGCATCTCTGTTGCTAAGGGATACAGAACATAAACCCTTCACAGGTCCACCAAAAAAGAAAAGCATCTGAAAGCAAAAAGCACCGATAGACCTGACAATTTCTTTCAAAACTCTGCACTATAAACTTCAGAGGTCCCAGAATCTCAAAGAGGAGGTGCAATACCAAACACCCAAACAATTATCATTACTTATACGTTACCAAAAGTATTTAAGCGTCTGTTCTAACATATTTTAGCACCAGAAGCATTTAACTTGGTTGTAAGGCCCTATTAGTTTAGTATTTTAAGTGTGACACAGCAAATCTACCATGCTACACCGAACAAAGTTCACTATCAGCACACGGTTTTCCACTGTCACAGACGTTCAGTTCACTGTCACAGAACTGTCTCAGACGTTCATTTTAGGTGAGAATTGATACACACTTGTTTCATAGCCATTCCCACGTTTTTGGATAGGGAAGGGAAGGATTTTGGACAAGTAGGGAAAACAATATGAAAGAATGCAGTCAATTATCAGCTTTAAACTCGCTGACCTGCACTCCCATTTAATTGAGAGGCTCCAAGGCGAGCCCATTATCTCTCGCCCTTGTGTAAGAGCGGCCCTACTAGCCAAACCCGTAAACCAGCATAAAGCGAGCAACTCAAGCGGAATAATCCTTCCAACGCTGGTTACGTGGGGAGGAGAGCCTGGACCTTCCCAGACGCAGAGCCCCTCGCTCTCCGTGCGCGCACGACGACAGCTGCCCGGAGGGAGGCGGGCATGGGGTGACACGCCGTGTTTACGCCGTGTAAACACGCGGGGCGCTCCCCCCTCGCCCGGGCCCTCGGGGGAGGCGGGCGGACCAGGAGAGGGGTCCGCGGGGAACCACCACATCTATCCCTTCCCGCCCCCGGCTGCGAGACGGAGCCACCGCGCTGGCGAGGGCGCAGCAGCCGCTGCGCGGGCGGGGGCTGCGGGCTGCTCGCTTCCCTCCCCTCCTCCTCATCCCCATCCTCATCCTCCTCCCTCCGCCTCAGCCCCGCTCGCTCCCGCGCCGCGGCGGAGCCGAGCTCGCCCTGCCCTGCCCTGTCCCGCCCCGCCCGTACCTGCGCGGGCGGCGCCGCCCGCTGCTCCCCGGGGAGGCGCTGGCTCATCCTCCCTCTGAGCGCCGACGGGACTCGGGCTCGGCCCCGCAGCCGCGGCCACTCCGCCGCCGGCAGCGCCCCCTCGGCGCGGGCAGGGCGGGGGCTCGCACGGCGCACGCTCCGCGCCCGCCGGGTCAGCGGCGCCGTCACGGCGGGTTCCGCTTCCCGCGGCCCGCCCGGCTCGGGGCCGGCCCCGCTCCCGCCCGCCCAGGGCGCGGCCTCCCGGCGGCGCGGGCCTTGCTCCCCGGCCGGGCTGTGCCACCCGTGCCGGGCTGCCCCGCCGCCAGCGAGGGCTGCGGGCCCGGCGCGCAGCTCGCCCGGGGGGAGGCAGGACAGCCCTGCGCTTAGAACGGGGAGGAGGCGGTTTCCCAGGTACGGGAGGGAGGGAGGGAGGCGCTGGGCACATGGCGGCGTCGTTCGGCTGCGGGCTGAACCCACCGCCTCTGCATTCCAGAGCACCGGGCGCTGCGGAGCCCCGAGAGAGTCCGTGTTCTACCTGCAGAGGAAACGCAGGTGTCGGGGTGGGCACGGAGCTGCTCGGCTCTGCCAGCCGACGTGCTGAGGCCAGCGAAGGGGTTCGCTCAGCACGCAGTGACAGAAGGCAGGTTCCCGAGGAGCGCGGCAGGTAAAGGGTGTTATAAATTAGTATAAGAATTTAGACAACTCAATTCCAATTAAACATTGATATATTTATTAAGCAAGCGATAATAAAGCAAAGACAGCGCTGGGTGGTCTGGGAAGCTATCGCCTCGCCCGAGACACACACTAAAATGTAGTAAATGTCTCTTTTTATACATTTTCAAGTCGCGGGTTTTGAATGCAAATGCACTGTGGCTGTGAGTTCGTGGCTTGTTGTTAAGTGGTCATCTGGGATTCGTCAGGGATGAAAGTCGTAGTTCTTATCAGTTGTAAATTCTACCGAAACTGACGCTGTTTGTTTAGCAAGATGTCTGTAATTAATTTTACTGACACTTACTTGATTAACAGGATGTCTATGAAACTTACCTTGTTGAATTATAATAAAAGTTTCTGACTCTCTCATACACATAAGATTTTATGAACAAAGTTAACCCTTCTATTACAAAGGGGTGGATTATTTTCCCAAGGAGAATGCCCGCTGGTCCGTTTGTGCAAGGCTCACAAACTGTGTGCACCGGGTGACGGATCGAGGCACTCGGGCTGAGAAAGCGCGCTGTGAATCTGGAGGCTTTGCCCGCAGGTGCCATCAAGGCGCTCTGGGGTCGGGAGCGGAGGAGCCGCGGGCGCGGCCCGGCCCGGCCCTGCCCGCTGAGCGCTGTGTGAAACACACGGAGCCGGTTTTTTTTTTGGGTGTTTTACCCCCAAAACCGCCGGCAGCCGCCGCGCGCGCCCCGCCCGTCACGTGACTGGCGGCGCGCGTTACCAGGGTGAAGCGCCGCTAGCGTGGAGAGAGCGGGGGGGCCGCGGCCCCGCCCCCGCGGGCTCGCCCAATGGGAGGCGAACCGAGGGGCGGGCCCGCCAATAGAGGCGGAGGGGGCGGGGCCTCGGCGGGCGCGGGTCCAGGTTGGGCGGCCGTGGTGGCAGCGGGCAGGTATGGCGGGGCACGGCGGGCACGGGGTGCGCACCGGGCAGCGCTGTGGCGGCCGAGATGGGGCGCGGGGCCGTCCTCCTGCGGAGTCTCTCCCAGCCGCCCTGGGGCGAGGGGTTCTCGGCCGCGCCTTACGCCCCGGTGCTGGGCTTGCCCCAGCTGTGCGGGGGCGGCGGCCTGGCGGGGCCTGGCCGGGGAGCGGGGGCCTACCCTGCCCTGCCCTCCCCTCCTCTCCCCTTCCCCTCCTCTCCCCGCGGGCACCGCACCGGTCCCCGCACACCCGGTCCAGCCCTGGCCTGGCCGTGCGCTCCGCTCGGCCGGGCTGTCGCGGGGTGTGCCTTGTGCTGCTTTCCTGCGTGCCCGTGGTGGATGGAATGACTTACTGCCCACGGCTCGTAAAGCCAACGCCCTGTCGGGAGCTGATGCTTTTTCTCAAGACGCCGCTTTTTCCCTTGCCACGTGTAAGAATAAGACCTCTATCTCGTAGAAGATTATACGCTCCCGTTACTGAAGTGCGGGCAGGCTGATTGTTGACCATTTGTGTTTGCACCGCAGCAGCAGTATGCAGTGGCAGCCCCTGAGCTACGCCTAGTGCAGCTGGTTTAGCTGTAGAACAACATGGATTGTTTCAGAAAGCAGGAGTAGGAAGAGAACTTCAGTAAAGCCATGTGAAGTTCAAATTGTGTCCCACCTGCTGTGCTTTACTGTTGTCCAAAAGAGAGTATTAAAGTTAATGCTAAGTCTTTCTTATATGTAGAAATGCAACTTCACATTAAACTTTCTCTACTTTAAGAAAAAAAAAAAAAACCAAACCTCACCAAGACATTGCAGGTCTGTAATTTTCACTTTTTCCTTTCCTGGTAGTTGTGTTTAGTCCTGGTAGGTTTCCCATCTCTTTTGCAGAACAGGTTGCTTCAAATCTCTTTTGTTTTTTCTTTTCTATACAAATCAAGTCAAGCTTATTAATTTTAGTCTACTTTCATGGTGTGGGTTCTGTTAAGCAGCATCTCTGTGTAGTGCGTGATAACTGTGGAAGAAAAATGATCCCAAATCAGGGTGAGACCCTGATTGTGAGACCTGTGATGTGTGTGAAGTATGGATCTAAGCTACTAGGACCTCCTGTTGGAAGTAAGCTGGATACAGCAAAGCACCAATGCTGCTAGTGCTTGCAGATGAGGTTTAGATGCAGAAAAGCATAGGCACCGTTTGTCTTTTTCAGCTTATGGAAACTTCCTCGGAAGTTCTCTGGGTAAAGTGGAAGTTCTGCTGTAAAAAACATGATCTTTTAGTCCACTGTGAATTTGTTTTGCTGTTTGTTGCTTTGACCTTTGTTTTGCCAATTGCCTTTGCTATTCTGACACTTGCAATAGCTTCCACATGCAGCTCCACAGTCTCCTGTTTTTACCAAAGTGTTTTTAATATAGAAACTTAAACACTATCAACATTCAGCTGAGTACTCCATTTAATCTCAAAAGGTAGTCTAAATGGTCAGATAGTACATTAAAAATAATGATTCTGACTATTTTGTAATGAATTTATTTGCAACATGAAAGAAGTCTTTCAGTCAGACTTTAAGGCACACCTTGCTATACTGAATAACAGTTCTAAACTTGATGGGGATCTGTTGAATTTGGTCCATTTTTGGCTTTGTTATAGCATCTAATTTCCAAAATACTGGATTTAGTGCTTCTTAGGAAACAACACGTAGGGATTCCCTCTGCCCTGTTGTATTTCTTCCAAGTAAAGTGGAATGAAGGATTGTTGACCAGGTGCTATAACTCTATATGATGTTCGTGTGCCAGCTGAATCAGAAGCTATGACGCTGACTGCTTGCTTTATTTAAAGATTGAACACATTCTTTTTAGTCAAAATGAAAGATTAAACAGGTTTTAGCAATGGAGCCCTTGTTGGCCCAAAGTGAGTTAACTGTACTAAAACAGAGTTGAGACTAAGACTAGGTGATTTCCACAAAAGCAACTGAAGAGATAAATGGAGTAACATTTTGATTAAAAAAAATGTAGCCTGACCTGTCAGGCTAGATGACTAATTACACCTAACTAAATCTGGGTTGTGTGTTTTTTGTGTTTTTTCTTTTTTTTTTCCTAGTACTCAAGTAAGCATGCCTTAAGAAGATAACTATGGATAAATATATTAAAATACGGAAGATTGGAGAAGGATCCTTTGGGAAAGCCATACTTGTCAAAGCTAAAGAAAATGGCCAACAGTACGTTATTAAAGAAATAAACATCTCTAAGGTTAGTTATTATCATTCATTCTCGATCCATTCTTTTTGTATTCATGTTCTCAAAAATCATTATTTTCCTTCTGAAGATGTCAAATAAGGAGAGAGAAGAATCAAGGAGAGAAGTTGCTGTATTGGCTAACATGAAACATCCGAATATTGTCCTCTATAGGGAGTCATTTGAAGGTAAGATTAACTAATACAGTAGAATCTGAAGTAGTACTAGTAAGCCACTTCTGTGCACTACTTACTGCATTTAGCTTAAAAGTCTGCATTTTCTCTCTTCAATCAGTATTTTTCATACCTTTATTACTTATCTCAGTTCTTTTCCACTGTGTTTTTTTTCATAATTCCAATGCACATTTTAAAGTGTAATTTAGAAAAAAAGGGCAACAAATACACAGAAATATTCATGACTATTCCTTATATGCTTTGATTTTGGTTGATACTTATATGGAAGATAATCTCGTGTTTCTCCAGAGCATAAGTCTCCTTGAATACTTGTATGGTCCCTAGCAATTGGAATGCTTGTGTAGGTTAAATACAAGTACAGTCTAAATTTGGGTATTGATAACCTAGCAAGAGCAGTTTCATGTCTGAGTTGTTGTTCTAGAATGCAGTCTTCAGTAATTGCAATCATATAATTGCTTTCAGAGCTGTAAAAATAAATGGGACTGTTTACTTCATCAAGATATGAAAGAAGGAGAAATATAATTCCACCTTGTCTTCACAGTGAATGGCTTGGGAAATGAGCAGAATAAATAAAAGATTCCAAAAACCTATCATATAAGTTAAAATATTATTTAAAAACACCCTAAAATTATTTGAAATACTGTTTAGGGACAGTACTCTCTTATCCTTTACTTCCTTTCTGCTTACTTTCATATCTCCTTTGCCTGGGGGGTTTTATTTTCTCCATTCTTTAAATTAGATTTTTGTTAAGTAATCATATTACACAGCCATAGTCTTCTGTTTATAAATCCCTGCTTCTGTCCTCTTTGTCTTAGAGGCCTGTTTTTTAAGACTGCTTATTTCGTACAAGGCAGACCTTGCAGTCCGTAATTCACAGGACTTCGTGTTGCACCTTTAGCGCTTAAACACATTGGCTTTGAATATACTGATTTGGTTTGTAAATAAGAGAATTATTTCAGCAACAGGTCTGCCAGAAATCCAGAATCCTGAGATCATCTTTTAAAATAACACTGATTATAAAGCTTAACCGAGATACAGCTATAAGGGTTCAGTGTTTCAGAGGCATTCTGTGAGAGTGAGACTGAAGTGACCTAGATGATTCTCTTGATTTTAATTTAAAGTGCTGTGACTAACTTTTTCATAAAATAAGTTTTTCTTTTGAGCAGCATGTGACTGATTTTTTTGCAGTTATTTAGCTCTTCTCAAAATCATGCCTAGTATGTGAGGAGCATAGTTCTTATGTTTTTGGCAACTTGCATTTTGCTTCTGCCTAACCTGTTTTTTCATCAGTAGCTTGTAAAGATTGGATTGGTCAATAAATCTGTAACCGTGGATGAAATATATATGATCATATCTCCTATTGGAATCTTGCATAGGATTTTTTGAAGTCTCCCCAAATTCCATTGAAAAATGAGAAAATAATTGTTTCCATCTCTCATTGTCTGCTGGAAGTTTTGTTGCTGTTCCTCAGCCTCTGAAATAAACTGCATGTCTACTATGAGAGCTGATGAGTTTCATGTTCTTGCACTTAGAGTAATACCTAGTCCAGGTAATACTTCAAGAAAGAGCAAGGCAGATAGAGGCAACTACCTAAATTAGAACTTAAGATCTCTATTTTTAGGGTAGGGAACCTATAGGATGTTTGAAAGCAGTTTGAAGAATGGTTTTAATATTGCGTTCATAAAGTGACATCTTTAATTTCTTGGTGGTTTTGAACGACATTTCTGGGCATTGGTTCAACAGCTGTAATTTTTTTCTCACTGTATCTCAAAATAGTCTGATGTAACTGAAAAGGGGAAACTTAGGTTGTGAAACTCAAAATAACAATAATATTTATGGACTAATAAATTATATCTGAAACTGCATGCAAAAGGTTGGGGGTTTTTGTTGTGTTTTCTGTGACTATAGTGAGGATATTCAGAAAATTATGTAAATATGGATCTTTTTTTTTTGTCTTTTTGAAATTCTTTGTTTTATTTTACAGAAAATGGCTGTCTCTACATAGTGATGGATTACTGTGAAGGAGGAGACCTATTTAAAAAGATAAATGCCCAGAAAGGAGTCTTATTCTCTGAAGATCAGGTAACAGCAAACTACTGCTATAGTATTTTGTTGCAGGATACTTTTTCATGAATTTTAAATTATTTGGGCTCACTTTGCAGGTGTGGTTGCTTAATCTAAAAGGAGGTCTTCAAATTGTCATTCTTGTTGCCATTGGTCATAGTAGAATCTTTAAAAAGAAAATCAAACCAAAACAAAAAAAACCACAAACACCCCAACCCTCACCAAAAAGGAAAACCAGAAAGAAAACACATTCCTGGGAGTCATGGATATGTTACTCGGAATCTTGTCTGTATGTGTAAGATGCTTTTAAAAAGGTTGGATCTTTTGTGAAGTAAACCAGATCCGAGAAATGAAAAATACTGTAAGACAGCATGGTTATTTTTAAACCTTTGAAGCAGAGTTTTTGAAGATATAATGGCATTGATTTTTGTATTCTAATACTAACTGCCATGTATTAGAAGTATAAAATAACATACTTTGTAAGTATAACAGTATGGAATGTGGAAATATGAAGTTGGCATTATTCAAAAGTTTATTTTCCCATTAACAAAAATTTGATTTTGTATTGGAAGTATACCAGCAGACTTTCTTTTGCCACAAAACTGGTTATAAAGTCATTTGTAGTGGAAGAGAGGTGGGAGAGTTTGGAATAAATGAGAGGATTTTATGTAGAGATTTGATTAAATTAGCTACAAACAGATTGATTCAGAGTAGTTTTTTGTTAGAACTGACATACGTTTCTTTGTTTATAAATTGTTTCTATGCCTTTGTGTCTGCACCTAGTAGGTGGTTGGAAAGGCTTAATAATTTATTAGATCTACTGATGGTATTTAGAATAGGGCATTCATGAAACATTTTGGATATAATTTGAAAAACTTTTCATTTTTCTAATTTGACCTTACTTTACAAGAAGGACTTCAAGTCGAAAAAAAGTGGTGACAGTACTTTTAAATTTTTAGTTATTCTATAGTATAAATGAAGACAGTTGGGGGAGGAGGGTAAAATCTGGAGTTATAAATATAAAACTGATTTGATAATATCTTGTAAGTGGGGAAGCTTTCGGATAAATGGCAGTGCTGATGTTGCATTTTCTTTTATGCATAGATTCTGGATTGGTTTGTACAGATTTGTTTAGCACTAAAACACATACATGATAGAAAAATCTTGCATCGGGACATAAAGTCACAGGTATGTAGGTCACTGTTTTTCAGCTGATTTTACTTCCAAAGTGATTAAAGTCATAACTTGCTAGTGTAAGTTGGCAAATTATAGAAAACAGTTGTTTTATATAAACATTTCTAATACAGGAAACACTTCTTCAGAATCACCTGCAAGAGATTTATATGATATTTTACAAACCAGTGAAGCTATTTGATGAAGCTACTTGAGTGTTGCTCATATATTTGTGTGGGGACAGGAAAGGTTATGTTTGAGAACGTGTAGCAGTGTTTTCTTATTTTAATGAAGTAAGTAGAGTAAGTCTGGTGTTCCATGGTAGTCAATAACAGTACTGCCAGTGACTTAAGAGGGATTGAATGGTAGAAAACTTTCTTTTTCCCAAAACATATAGAGAACAAAAAGCAATTGTATGAATATTTTAATTAACAAACTTCTTAACATTTCTATATCAAGAATATATTTTTAACCAAAGATGGAACAATACAGCTGGGAGATTTTGGAATCGCCAGAGTTCTTAACAGGTAACTCCTTTTTGATGCTGTTTTTTCCTCTCACTTAATCTATGTCACTTTGATTAAGGAAAACACAATCTGTACTTCATGTGAGTTAACCAGTTAACATCCATTCTTATTTTTTTTCTTAGTACTGCAGAGTTGGCTCGCACTTGCATAGGAACACCATACTATTTGTCGCCTGAAATATGTCAGAACAAGCCTTACAACAATAAAAGGTAATTTTTGTTAAGGAGAAGAAAAACAGTTCTTTTAGGAATCCAAAGCTGTTCTAATCTCATGATGGTGAGCAGCTGTTATCTTTCTCTCACCCCAGTAGGTACTGAGCCTCACTGTACAAGTGAGACCTTAATAAGTCTGCAGTAGAAAGCAATGTGATGCAGAGATGACTTAGCTTAATGCTTGAAGTTCCAGATCTAGCTGTGTTCTTAATTATGGCTCTACTCTTGCCTGTCTGTTTTACTGCCTTAATTTATGCACTACAAATGTGAAACTGTTAGTGATGAAAGACAGTAGTTGGAGTCTCTAAGCACGTGCATAGATGGGTATCTCAGCTTGCTCCAGTTAACAAAGTCCTACAGATACCTCACTTACATGCTTGCTGCCCTGGCAGTAGGCAGTATCTGATAACAGTGTCCCCACTTTAACTAAAATGGTTGTTATCAATTTACCCTTACACTGCTCTAAGCTGCTGCATTCATTTCTCTGAGTGCCCTATACTAATTTCAATTGGTTTCTTAAAAGATAAAAGTTATAATACCTTGCCCCTTAATTTCTTCTGCATTGGATTTATTATCCAGTGGTATTCTAACCAAATTCTGTAATCCTGCAATGAGTGAGGGTAAGGTGAGTCAGTGTTAAACAGAGTAAATTGACTTAGAGATGTATTTGCTGAATTAGGTGTAGAGTTTTGTTTGGTTTTTTGTTTGTTTAATTTAAAAATTTCCGGCAACTGTATATACTTAAAGAAAAAAGGCTTTTTTTCCATATTTTGCCTAATTTCTGTGGTAAGGGTGGTTCAGATGAAAATTCTAAATCTGAAGCCAAAATAGCTTCATCTGGTTTTCAGGTTGTTATTTTTGGTTGTTGACTTTATTTTTTTTCATTGTTGTTTTTCGGGGTTTTATGGGATCAGAGAAGTCCATACAGGGAAGCTTGTACACACTTAAAATACAACCTTTTCCTTTTCAAAGATAAACTTCACAGATAAAAGTTCTTGGCAATGTTACACCTAGAACTAACTGTTAAGGTATGTTCTCTTTGATTTAGTGATATCTGGGCCCTCGGTTGTGTTCTCTATGAAATGTGCACACTTAAACATGCGGTGAGTACAAACTTAGTGTGTCTGTAAAGAACAGTTATTTGAAACAGAACTTTTTTCTGATTTTGCATATATGCATTTTAGTTGATGAAAGGTTTTCATGATAACTGTTTGGAAATCACCCTCAGCGTTTTCATCTCCGCTTCCTGTGCCGACCAGCATTTCCCGTTGGCATTTTGATTCGTTCCATTCCCTCAGAAATCTTGGCACTTTTGTTTTTAATGAACTGTGTCAGCTGAAAAAATTGTTAGGTGTTGTAACAGAGGATACCAGGAATAGTGTTTCTTTTTTTTTTCAAAAAAACTTGACTTCATTGAAAGTCTGAATTTGGACTCTCAACTTTTGTGCAAATGAATTAATGTATTTCTCTTTAGAACAGGAATAGTGCTTAGAAAAAAACTCCCATGGTGGAAGAGTTGCCTTTCTTTTTTTCCCCCTCTCCTCTCTATGTGGTTGTTTAGTTTTATCACCCATTTTGCAGTTAGGAAGGGAAGAAAAAACATTTTTTTTGTGTGTGTCTTGATCTGGATTTTTTTTTGTGGATTTTGTCTTGTTTGGGGTTTTTTTTAGTAGCTATTTTTATTAAAAGAAAAAGATCATAACAACATGAAAATAGAAAAAATTTCCAAGGGATAAGGATTTAATTTCATTTCAAGCTTTTGTAATTTCTTGTTGCTTGGTCTTTTATGTGGCAACAATGCTGACAGTGTTGCCGTTCTGGGAGTTTATGGCAACAAGTTGTTTTCTGTAATCTGGGTGATATGTATTGTTTTCTTTTTATTGTACAAATGAATTGAAATAGTGCCCTCTGTTTCCTGAGCTTAAACTGAAGTCTGAGCATTCCTTCGGATTTCACGCTGAAAGAGTGTGAATACTTTACATTCTTTCATTTGAAATGTGGATTTGCTGAAAAGGGCAGAAGGCATGTGGTGGTTGAAAATGTTTGGAAGAGGAGATCAAGCAGATAATTACGTGATTATTTTTGCTTAGTTATTGTCAGTCTGGATCTGGAGGGACATAATTCTTTGTTAGCAAAATTTATATTTCCATAGTATGAAATACCTTTACTAAGATGTATTTTTAATGGGAATTCTTGGCAACAGATTATTTTAAACTGCTAGTGTAAACTGTTGATGACTTCGAAAATGTGTTTTGGTATGTTGAGGCAAGGAAAGGTGCTTTGTTAGTTGTCCTCATCATCTGTATATGCAACCATGCATGTGGACACACAGTCAGTAATATGTAGTAACTGTTTTCTTCTTTGTGTGATACAGTTTGAAGCTGGTAACATGAAGAACTTGGTACTGAAGATAATCTCTGGACCGTTTCCTCCTGTTTCTGTGCATTACTCCTATGACCTACGTAATCTGCTGTCACAGTTATTTAAAAGGAATCCTAGGAATAGACCATCAGTAAACTCCATATTGGAGAAAAACTTTTTAGCCAAACGGGTTGAAAAATTTCTCACACCAGAGGTATGGAGTTTGTTTTAATTCTAACATCCCTGAAACATCATACGGCTTTCCTTTTTCTTTATTCTGATGTCAATATACAGCATGAGAAACTGGAGTAATGGTATTCCTTAGAGCTCTTATAGACAGTGTCAGTTGAGGAAAAAATAGTTTTACTATGAACTGTAAAGAAAAGTCTCAAATTATTAAGTGTTTGGTAGTTTCCGTGAGTAAATATAAATTGGCATTTTCTGAAGTGCACTGGTTTGTGTGTTTCTCTATATTGTGAGGAATTATGGGTGATACGTTGATTTGTTTAAATATGTATCTTTTCATAAAATGGTGCTCTCAATGATTTCAGCATCAGTGCTATATCAAATTACTTCAATCCATTTTTTGTTTCGAATTTGGAATGGCCTCAGAGCCTGTTCTAAATATTGCTAAGTAAAGTAACTTTCACATTTCTTGATATTTAAATGTATCCTGTGTATATAACCTCAAAGAAGTTGCTTGCTATTCTGTTAATAATTTGTCGATATCATTTGATGTCTATTAATGTCCTTTTAACATAAATCTAATCAAAAGAGATCAAGATTAACAAGTGAATAGTACTGATATGAGGTAAATATAGACAGAGAAAGGACATGGAGGAAATGCAATATAAAGAATTCTAAGGGATTCTTACAACTAAATAAATGTTGTGAGAGGTCATACATAACTCAAATTTCTATTGTATGTAAATAGACTTTCAACTAATAATAGTTCAGATTAAAGTTCCAATGATAGGTAAGATTCAGAAATCTTAACAGATAAGTTTGTTCTAACATTTGCAACAAGAGTAGTTTGATCTGATTTTATTTCCAGTTGCCAGAATGGATATGAAATTTTCATTTGTAATTAGTCAAAGTATAATTAGTAATCGACTGTCTCTATCACCAGATTGCGATACTAATTTGTCCTAGATAGTGTATGAATGCTTGTGCACAATTTTTCCACCTGTACCTCTGACTTGTTTGACTTAGAGGTGCTATCCAGTCTTAAAAGCAACACCATCAAAAACCAAAAAAAACCCCAAAAAAACCCCAACAACCCTCCCCCAAATCCAACCAAAAAAAAAAAAACAACTCACACCCCCCTGCCAAAACCACACAGAAAGCACCTTTTAAATATTCAGCTGGAGGTGTTTATTACGTTCTGTGACAATGTCATTACGTTCTACGACACAGCTGTAATACTTATTTTCTTTCAGTATCACCCACGGCTAATGCTGTTGTCCTGTGTTTTCCTTAGTCTAAGCTTAAGAGTTATTTCGTAGCTGACATCTTCAACATGTTGCAACTATTGCTGAAACCCTCCTCTCCAATGTCACGAAAACAGTCTTCCAGTTTTATGTAAATTCTTTTGTAATTTTCCTAGTTACTAAGTTACAGTAAAGAGTGGATGTAAATTAGCATCATTGTTTTTAAAAAGGAGAGGCTCTTTGGAAGATACTGAAGAGTCAAGTTGCTTTTCTGTCAATAATTGTGTTATCATGGAAGCATCATACTTTGGATGTTACAGCTTACCCCTCAAATCAAAGCTTTAAGATCAACGAAATACCATTAGTAGGGAACTGCTCTCATGTGTGACTTCTTGCTTACAGAATCTTTGATGCCAGACTGTACAGGTTAAAAACTTTTTCTGCCATCATGTGCGGACCCCTAAGTTCTGCATGTTGATTCTTGTTTTGGGGTTTTTTTTCAGGTTTAACTCCTCAACTTCCATTGTAACTGACTGGTAGTCTCTAAACAAGTCAAATAACCTGGATAGTTCAAGATTCTGTAAAAACTGTTCCTGAACTGCACTTATCCTTGCTGCTCTTCCTTGAGTCTTTTTCGTTTCTACTATGTGGTTCTTGAGGTGTTGGGTTCAGAACCACCTGCAGTATTTAAAGTGATGGCCTATTAATGTTTGAATGTTCTCTATCTAGACTCAAATTTTTCACTCCAGTAAGGCAGTTTTCCATATTTTATTATGCTAATTTGATATGCCAGACAGCATGCCATGTATGTTGTTTGTAGATACCCACATATGTATTCATCTTCCCACCTCGAAAAGGACAGTGAAACTTGAAAACTGCCAACACTTGACACAAGCTGTATGAGAAATTTAACTTTGGCAACTACTCAGAAATCTAAAATGAATTATGTATAAAGCTATGTTAATGCTCACATTAACTTTATTCTAGATTCTTAGCTAATTCGTGAATGAGATAACATGTGCCACCCAGCAATCAGACTGAGTTGCTTTTTTAAATTATTTGAGTAATTATGCCAAAAATGCTTGCAAATACTGAATCCAGCCTCATATTCATGTTAGTGATACTAAATTGAATACATAAAGTTGAAAATTGAAAACAGGAAGTTGAGTATTCACTTAAGTTTCAATAAATACTACTAGTTAGATGCTTACTGAGAATGGCACACTTCTCTGAAAATGTTCTTTCTAGCTTCAGTCATAAATGCTGATGGCTAACTCTACAACTTTTTATTTAGCTTATTGCAGAAGAATTCAATCACAAAATTTTCCAGAAGTTTGGACCACATGCTGCACCAGGTAAGTGAGCATGTAAAGTGCTTTTGCCTTCAGCTCTGTTAGGACAGTGTGTGTAGCTTTGTTCTTTTACTTTTCTTGTTTGTTTTTGTTGTGTGCTCTTATACCTGATGGTAGAATTTTCAGGAAAACAGAGAGAGGAACCAATTTACTCTCCTCCCCTCAGGAGCTGGATGTATGTAGGGTACAAATGATGGAAATACAAACTGTGATCCTGTAAAATTTTAAGTGTACTCTTTCCTCTTGCAGTATGCTATGCTTCCAAAATTTCTGGAGACAGCATAGACTGCATATACTGGAAGTAATTTATATGTTGTGATCATGTGACTTATTTTACCCCTTAGTAATGACAAATAGCTAATGAGAAGTACCATTTGTTGCAAAAAATGTGGGAGGTTTCATTAGAGATTCCAAGATAAGGCCCTGACTTCAGTCCAATTCAGTAGAATTTCTGCTACTGGTAGCAAAGTAGACCATGATTAGTTTTGTCAAGATGATCCTACCGTACTTCATTTTCCTGCATTAGTTTACACTTTTTTTTCCCCTAGATTTCCTTCCCAATTATTTTATTTCCTTATAATTATTTGAAGCTGTGGCAAGTGCTCTGGTGTCTTTTGAATAGTTTTCTGTCCTGCTATTCTGTAGTAAGAGAGCCCTACTAACACAGAATCAAATCCACAACACTGGCACGTTTTCAGGAACTCTACAGGGAAAACAATATCCCTGGAAGCCATTAAAGCTCTTCCAAAACTCATTTTCTGCTGACAGTAGTGTTGCAGGTTTCAGTTCAGTGTTATTAGTGGAGACAAGCCTATCTCTCCATTCCATTAGGAAAACTTTTCTATGTGTGAGTGACAACTGTGTAATAAAGCATGGCAGCTGAAATAAGATTCAGTTCTCCAGTTCAATTCACCAGACAAGGTGTTTTGGACAGCTGGGTATTATGCATCAGCTCATGTGAATGAAATTCACCCTTTTTTTTTCTAGTTATGTTGTTCTGAGACCTTGGGAGAGGGGAAATAGGGTACACTGGCCAGGCTGGATAGCTGTAAAACAGGTTTTGTTGTTGTGGTGTTTTTTTCTTTTCAGCTAAAAAACCAGGTCAAGATCAAACACTGACTTCAGTTGCACCAGCTCAAAAAATTACCAAACCTGCTGCAAAATATGGAGTGCCTTTAACTATCAGGAAGTCTTGTGGTGCACCTAAAAAGCCTAATGAGAAGAAGCCATTGACTAAATCTAGACAGGTAAGAAACTAAGTTAGCTAAACTGAACTGTTTTGTTCACACCTTATTTAAATGCTAAAAAAATTCTGTGCCTTCCTTTTCAAAATGTCTTGGTATGTGGACACATCCACCTGCAGAGAAAGTAGCACTGATAGTTTAAATGCTTGGCTTGCTTCATTATTGATCTTTTTGTTGTTGTTGTTTAGTTGATTTTAATATGATGATTTCTGTAGACTGCTACCTTAGGTTTGAGTTTTAATTTCACTGCTGAATTACATTTGCATGCTTTCATTTGCTTTGTTGGTGTTAACCACTCTTAGAAATACTGTCTGTCAGATATACCAAAACCATTGACACTGAATGAGAATCTTTGCGTTTTTCTTCCTTGTTCAAAAATAATCTCCAGTTTTCAAAACATGAAAACTTCTTTTAGCCATTTTACAAAGTGTTGTCAGCCAGAGAAACCTTGTAATTGGAAGAGGGGTTTCCCAGATTTAATTCCATGAGCTGATGAGAAATGGTCTTCTGTATACCTTCATACAGTACTTTCAATCTTTCCTTCAGTTGTCTTTTCTGTATTCCTTATAATATAAAAGTTCTGTCTCTTTATTCAAGGGTGGACCTTGATGATCTCAGAGGTCTCTTCCAACCCAATTAATTCTATGATGATTCTATGATTCCTTTAATTACTGCATGGCCAGGAGATGTTTATGTTACAGCTAGTATTGAGCTATATGCACGTGCCAAACAACTAGCAACCAAGAAGTTCCCATTTCAACAAGGGAGAACTAATTCAAATTTTCTTCTGAATAAGTAATACTGTTGTTGTTGTAGGGTTTGTTTGGGGTTTTTTTCCTTCTCCCCACGGAGAACATAATCCCTTCCCCCAGGGAACATAATACTAAGATCTCTATCCATCTGCTAAATTTGATAGGTGGATAGCAAATTGTCCTTGAGATACAAGTTATCTGTGAGGTTCAAAAGTTATGAGAGGTTTAGAGAAAAGCTTATTGATCACACAAGCCCTGTTGGCTTGTGATGCACATTTGAGAGCAAGAGGAAGGGAAGGCGCAGACTTCTTGTGTGTCCTTATGAGATCACGAGGTTTATATGTTTTAAGATGTGGTTGCACAACCATCTGCTGCTCTTTATAATCAGTTTCACCAGCCAACACCCATCCACCTTACCTAGAGACCTAAAGTGGCAGGGAAGAGACTGGGGAAATATCTACTCTTCCTGCATGTAAAGAGTCAGTAACACTGCAATTTTAAGACATAGTCTTTGTGTGAACTGTACCTGGTGATAAGGGATAAGATGTAGCATAGAAACAATGGCTACAGTGTAATATAAATTTTCTTCTCTTTGTTGTTCCAGGGTAGTCTGAGCTTGCAGCTGTCAGCTGGCTTTTCAGAGGAACGTGCAACAATCATCTCTTTTGTTTAGAGATATTACATTAACATTACAATATTACAGGTCTCTGAAGGTTTCTGACTTCTGCCATTCTTGATTTTAAAGTACCCATTTGACAGAATTGTGAGTTGTCAAAAGAAAATACTGTGAAGCTCTCTGTGTTCTGGTATGGTCAGAAGAAACAAAAGCTTTAAAATTAACCATCCCTTTTTTTGACAAGATTAGAGTAAGCTGCATGCTTTAAGTATAGCTTCTGCTTCAGCAGGTATTCCATGGTGGCTGTGTTTTCATGTCCCACACGGAACAGGAACTTTGGTTAGAGTCAGAACCAAGTGAAGAACCAAGCAAAAGAGCCCTAGGATAACCTAACACATCTTTTTCCCAAATAAGAGAATCTTAATATCCCGGCACCCTCAAAGACTTAGTAAGAAAAGGTTGTAATGCAGAGTTATACCACCAGAGAAGAAAAATTAAGACAAAACAGGTTTAAAAAGTATTGCCTCAGCTTTTGAGACAGAACGTTTAGTACAGGATGAACAAGTACAATAGCATTTACCCCTAGTTCCTAGCAGTGCTTTTCTCTTAAAACCTCCTGAATAATCAAGTATTTTAAACCCCATTTTGTGCACACTCAGTTGTGGTTTTAAGATTTTTTTTCTGATTAGAATTTTTCTCTCATTCTTGCATCATGCTGTCTAAATTGAAGTTTGACCTTTTATGAAGACCTTTCCAACTCCTAGAAGAAAGGAGTAAAATGTTTGAAGTATCATAAAATCATTTGTAATTTTCAAACTAAGCAAAAGCTAAGTCCAAAGCAAGAATGACAAAATACATCCTTCAAACCTTTCCTCCTTTTCCCCCAAACATTATATAGCAGTGATATTTATTTTTTTTTAATCTTCATGGACATACACCTGCAATTGGAGCAATAACCCATCTCGACAGAGACTTGACAGAGTAATGGCTCAGTAATAAATACCAAATTATATGCTTGTTTTTCAGGAACCTTCAAAAAAGAAAAGGTTAGAATTGCCTGAAAAAGAAAAACGCCAGAGAGAGCAGGTAGACAAGATTCTTGAGACTTTTATTTATTCCCCCATAGTAATTTTAATGAAATACCTTGTGGTGTGGTGTGTTGTGTAAGGATATGTAGTAGTTTGATTTCCCAGTTACTAAACATGTTTCATCCTTACATATTGCAGATCAGTTTACTGAAAGCAGATGAAACGAGAAGATTGGAAAAAGAAAGGGTAAAATATGTTTAAAATGTGTTAATAGTAAAGTTCAATTTTTACTTAGTGGTTCCTTGAATTTTGTTTTCCTGTATTGTTTTCTCCTTCAGATGGAACGAATAAACAGAGCCAGGGAACAAGGATGGAGGAATGTGCTTGGTTCAGGTGGAAGTGGTGTTAAGGTTGGCAGCAGATGCAGAAATGTGGTGTAGTTTGTTCCCCTCACCTTTGATTATCTGGCATGGTCTTGTCTTTTCAGAAAGATCTTTTCTTGGAGGATAACTCTTGGGGCTGCCCGTTATTAATCTTTGGATAATTTAAGAGAAACTTTAACAGTTCCTCCCCTGGCCTTTTGGAGATTATGTGTAATTTTTCATTTTTAATGCTTACTAAATTTCTGAGTCTCTTCTCTTTCTGCCAGTAATGGTTTTCATGCACCACCTTTTTATTGCCACACCTGCTTTTGCTCCTTTTCCTGTGCTGAATCTATGCATGAACAGCTTCTTCCTGAATTTTTTTGTTTCCAGGTTCTCATTATATAATAATGGACCCCTTTCACATTATTAAACACCTGTTTTTAAACATTCCTTGTTATTTAGCAACATAAATGTTTATATATATTGGTAAGATGTTCAGGAGGGGGGATAAAAAATCCTAAATAGATCTAATTTTTTTCTGAATGCACTGTACTGTTTAGCCATTCACTTCCTGCATAATTTAATTTGATTCCTATGACAGCTTCTTTTGCATATTTATGTGTGTCATAGTCTTATGGAAACATAACTGTCTTGGGAAGTCGTCTCATGAAGTTAGGTGAATACAAAGGTCTGGGTACTTTCATCAGACAGAACCAATGCAGGAATTTAAGTAGTGCTGTAGTCTAAATCTATCTGACAATCGAAAGTGGACTGAAACACTGCTATTTGTTGTGGTGGTATAGTGAGTCTTACAAAAATACTCGCTATTAACACGTTTAGTAGGGTTTTTGTAAACAAACTCTGACTGAACAGTATAGTCAAAATGAAGAGAGGTTTTGTTACTGTTCCTTGTACAAAAATGAGGAATACACAAACATTGACCAGGTTTTAGTAGCTGCTTATTAAATGTTTCACTTCCAAATAGACATCATCTTTGGATGTGTGCCACACATCATATAAAGCTTAAATTTAGGCAAAAGCAAATTTAGGCATACCAGACTTTAAAAACTGCTGGGTGCTGATTCAATGAAAAAAAATCAAAAAATATAATTTGGTCCCTATGCAGTTCTTCTCTCTCTCACAAGATCAAACTGGCAGGCACCCATACAAGCTTCCATACAACACAATATGCATTCATCGTCATGTTTGGATGAGAAATATGTATGTTCCTGAACACAGTGTTTCTGACTAACTTTGAGAGTTTTACTGCAAACATACAAAGGTTTCCACAGCTGCATTGTTATCAATATTCTCAGTTACCAAGGGAAACTGAGGTCCAGTGATTGTGCCTGTTTTCACCAAGTGCCACTGGTGAAAAACATGGCAGACGGGCATTAAAAATCATTGAAAAGTCTTCTCCAAATTGGAGAAGTTTGTTTAGTACAAATCTTACTGTTGACCGTCACTCCAGGTTTCCATATTCTGTTATTCTTGAGTTAATTATCCTTTTCCTTTCTCCAGCAGGAAGGCAGTGTATCCAGCAACTCCCTGATAATACTGTTGAGTAACGTGGCTCAATCTTTCCAGTGACACAAGCCAAATAGTGTCTTAAGAAGGCACAGCAGGGTCATGCACTGCATGATTCTGTCCTCCTGTTGTCTCTTTGGTTTGATTGTTTCTGAGGACAAATAGGAAAAGAGGTGGCAAGGATTTGGCTTTGGGTTTGTGGTTCTAGTGGGGGCTGGAACTGTTCTGCAGACTGTAGATGAGCACCTGCTCCATAGCATTTGCCCAGAGACTGATCACAGTATTTCTTTAGATTTCAAAAACTACCTCTGATAAGGATAGGTGAAATCTTGAATACTATCTAAAGCAAGACTTTTCCTTCTATTTGCAGAAACTATAATCTTGTATAGTTATTGAGATGAACAGTGTACCTACATATTTATTCGAATGCCTGGATAAATCCTTGATTTAGTATTCTGTCATGTGGATTATGGGACGCTATTGATAGGCATTGAGCAACTGAAACTCGGAATGTGAGATTAATTCCATTGTCAGATATAGTCTCTTCAAGAACTTCTAAGTAGGCAATATTAAACCTGTCATATCTGCACTCACCTGTTTGAATTTATTTAAAATAACTTCAGAGCACTCTGGAAAGAAGATTGATGCTATTGTTAAAACAAATTCTGTAGATTCACTACCATGGGCTATTAGATTGCCTCCACCAGGTGTAAAGGGAACATTTTTATGCATGTGCTGACAACCTTAACCTTGTTTTGCCTTTCACATTTTCTGCATCCATCCTTGGCTACCACTCTACACAGCTGCTGCTTGAAACGTTATTTTTTTCATTATTTTCACACAGAGGTTCTGCAGGAATTCTAATTCTTTGAGAATGACAGGGATAATTCACATAAAGCAATAGCTTGGGGTAGATATTCCCATGGTCTGAGCTTTAGTAGGGAAGCATCTTAATTCTGGTGATGAATTCAAATTATAGGTTGGTAGCAAGGGAATTTTTAAATAAATCTACTTCAGTTGCTATTATATTGTTTTTTGTGCTAAAAGTTTGATTTTTGCCATGTAAAATTGTCTCTAGTTACATTTCAAGCACTTTGTTATCAGTGACTTCCAAAATGTGTGACAGATGTCTCACGTTTAACAAGACTGTTATTAGAAGAAGGTTAAATGGTGTTTTATTCTGGACTGCTAACAGAAAAAGAAGCTTTTAACTCATCTATCTTGTAGTTTGTTAAAATAAGGACATGCCAGGGTTAAAACTAGGACTAATTCAGAATTGCTGCAGAATATGTTAATGCTATTATTCTGCTGAAGAGGTGAAAACTGGAAGGGCTTCTTCAAACCAATATTTGAGATTTCCACCCTACCCTTTTTGGTTTCCAGGCACCATATTATGTCCGTGGAGGTGGTGTTGGTCCTTTGCCTGTGTCTTCCAGAGGACACTATGAACACTATCACGCTATTTTTGACCAGATGCAACAGCACAAGGAAAACGTTAGAGTAGCTGAACAGAGGGAAGCCAAATTGAGGGCGAAACTACAAGACCGAGAAGTTGTTGAAAGGTATGGCTACCTTCCATCAGAAGTTACGTGTGGTCTGCTTTAGATGAAAGCAATGAAAGTCACTGTACATATTTATCTACAGAGGAATTCCACCTGGAACACGTCCAGGAGTTCCTAGGGGACCTGCAGGTCATCACCATTTACCTGAGCTTGGTGCAGTTAGGAAAAAAGTGAAAAGATTGAAGGAGGTGACTAAACAAGCCAGTGCAAACAGGTTGGACTATGCTAATCCATAAATCTGTCCTTACATGTTAGATTCTTGTTCTGTCTGGTTTCATTTAGTAGTTGGACATGTCTCAAAATCACTTTGATCCATTGGTAATGTGCTGTCTGTTTGTGTGTTAGTCCCTCACAGACCACAACTCTTTTAGAACCAGTGGAGACCTTGGCTTCTCCAATAGTGGAAAAAATGGTTTTCTAAGAAAATGTAGCTTAACTAGATTTCAGACAAAATTCCTGGCTTAATGTGGTTGCAGATAACAACATCAGCCTCCTCCTTTGCTTTTTTCATAGTTCCACTTTTTGTGTTACCTGACAAGATGCTTCCTTTTCCTGTCATCTCACTCTTCCTGCCTTCCTGTCAAACACCTAAGTGTTTGACACTGTAGCATAGGAAAGCATCTAGAATGATCCCAGAATTGGTAGCTCCTGTGTATTGATCACTGGAAAACTTCTAGGAGCTTTCTTCATTGAGGTGTGAATGCCAGATGTTACAATTAAGTATTCTAATTACTGTAAACTGAGTATTTTTGTCTATGAAAGGATTGTAAACAAGTATTGATTTTTTTTTTAATAATTTTACTCTTTCAAATACCATTTCAAAACTTCTTCACTCTCCTTCATATCTGTTATTATTGCTCAAAGAACTGTGTTCACAGTTGTGACCAGTGAACATGATGAGAATGCTGTTTTTCTGGAAGTTTAGTACATGAACATTACTAACTAAACTTCCTGGAGGGACAAATTTTCTCCTGCATTATTTGAACTTCTGCAGAGCCATGCCATGGAGGAAGAAATAAATGGCGTTAATGTGAGGAATAGGAAGACCAAAGAAAACATTTGTTCTTCTGAAATAATTTTATTCAGTTTTATGTTCTAATATAATATATATTTGCTTTTACAGATTTTTTACTATTTTAAAATTTGCAGCAATAACATAACATGTTTAACACTGGTGGTACAATTTTGAAACCTACGAGGTATATTTTATTTTCTTTAGAGTAATTTAAACTAATTAAAATTCTTCCTGGCACAACCCAATACTAGAAGGTGTATTTTGCCAGCTGTAGTGTAATGTAATTTAATTTAATGTAAATTAAATATATGTATTTCCATACTCCTCTGTTTATTCTCAATGCATTGCACAAAGTGCACAATCCCCAGATCTTGCCTAGATTAGGAAACAGTTTGCCTCGTACATTTGACAATATTAAATGATACTTGTCTACAGATGGGTAAACTGTTTTAAATGTATTAAAATTGAGAGAAACTATAGCAGAGGGCTGCAAATTATGAATAACATGGAGATCAGGAAGAGAAACCAATTCTGTATTTCTTAAATACATGAATTTGGAAGCACTCAATGAAAATACTCAATGAAAATCTCTCTCTCAAAACAGAGAGAGACTGGGGGTTTTTCTGTTTATAAACTGAATTACCTTTAGCCTTAATTGAGATTTCTTAGCATTTTAAATGTGTTAAGAGTTTGTATTTTATTATCTAGAAGCAATTTTATTATCATAGCTAGTCTAACAGTATTTCTGTCCTACGCTTTAGTTTTTCATCTGGAGGCAAAATAAGTGTTCGTGATGCTTATTAGCTCAAATTAGCTCAAATGAAGAATTTAAATAACTATGTTAAAGAGATGTAATTTAGAGCATGTATTAGAGAAGCTGGAAAATCTTCAAGTCTTTCTGATTACACTACCACTAATGTAAAGCTAAGTATATTCAGCATCAACAGTCTTTTAAAATTGTCTTTTGGACAGAAGTGCAGCATCTAGGTTAAGTATTCAGTGAAACGAGTCACACAGCTTTAGAGTAGGAAAAACCGTCATAAAATGTAGTTGAAATAACTTTTTCCTGTGAATTTGGCTTGAGACAAATAGGTTTGGCTTTGTTTGGTTTTGCTTGGGAAGCACCTCTTCTCCAACACTGAAAGCTTCATGCTGTGTGACAAACTTCAGCTGCATGACAGGACTTTGGACGGATTTCACTATCCACCAACTGAGTTCATACATAATTAAAAGCTAGAGTGAAAATCTTGTGGTGAGTCAGGTATGCGTGTACAGAGAGTATCAAGTGTTTGTTTCTTTACCAGTAACACCTGTGTGGATTGTCTTGCCTTTTCAGAGCAGCTACAGGGTTTGTTTTATTGTATTAAGGTAGTTTTATCTCTGTCTTCCTTTTAGTGAATCTTAGCATATGGAGGAATTTTCATTTCCTTGTTGTGTAGGGGGTGGGAGGAAGAAAAAATAAAATGCAAGGATTTTAATTAGTGTGTAATTAATTTATGAATCCGTAACAATAGCTTCCTGTATTGCAAAATTATTCTTTAACTGACTCAGCCTGATGTATTGTTGCTATCAATTTTATTCCAAGTTCTTCCTGCCTTTTGCTGAATACCTCCAATACTCCTCACTTAAAGGAGCCCAGGGAAACCTTGGAAAGACCACATAATTTTACCATTCGTTAGAATATTTTACACCATTTCTCGGTGTTGGTGGTTTTTTTTTTTTTAATACAAAACTTCTTCTGAGTCCACTCCTAACCAATTTGTCAGAACTGGTTCCTTTACGAAACAATCTTATGCATGTACTTGTAGACTTGCCGGATGCTCAGTCATGGTAACTTAAACACAGCCACCTTGTCTACCCAAGCAGGTCCCTGACCTGGGGTGGAACTTGCCAAAAAACAGCCTTCTTGGCATGGCTGATTCTAAGGTAGGAAAACTCCTTCAGAGCCCCTTTGAAAACAAACAAAAATCTCCCAGGATTCCCCAAAAGGAGTTGCCAGAACACTGAGAATAGTAGCACCGTACTTAGTATCCAAGTGGTAGAAGCTCTTACTCCAAACATAGGACAGTCTTGAAAGGCTGTTGCAGTACTGACCTTACTGATTGGCTTGTGTGTGAGTTCTTGCTCGTGTCTGAAGGGAAACCTTGAAGGAGTCTTCTTTTTCACAAACGATAACAATAATGAAACAAGCTGAGGCACTTTCAGAATTAAACACACCGAGATTGTGTTTTCATGTTCACTTTTGTTTTGATGACAAGTATTTTGAAGGAAAACAGTGGTTTGGATTTATTTTTTATAATTGTTCTTCAAACTTACCAAGCCTGTTTTTCTCCATTGTGTGGCAGTCTGACTTGTATTTTGGCTGATGAAAGGCATTTTTTGAAGATGCCTTTCTTGCAGAAAGTTGCTCTTTTTTCTATGCGTGTTCTAGTTGGAATAAATGGTGGGGGGGGGATGTTTAGAGTGTCATATTTCAGACACTTTCATCTTGCTGTGTTGAAATTACTCAGGCAAAAAGGATGGATAGCTACAGATAGAGCAAAGCAAGTTGAAGAATTCTGGCAGCGAAAGAGAGAAGCCATGGAGAACAAAGCTCGAGCTCAGGGACACATGGTATGAAATCTGGTCTTCCTATATATATTGGTGTTTCAGCATGCTTTATGAGTCTTTGAAGTAGCATCATAACCATGAAATACTGACTAAATAATTTCCTTAAGTATTAAAAAGAGGAGAATGGGAGGTAAGTTTTCTGCCTTTTGTTGCTAATTTTAATAAGATGTGCAATAATTGTGCAATGCGTTTCTCATTACTGTAAACTTATAAACAGAGTAAAATACCTTTGTCTGCATGTATCTACCTTCATTTACATTTTTTCTGTTCATAGCTTTAGACTTTGGTCAAAATTAAACTTCATGTGTTATACCGTAGCTTGAATGTAAAATGAAGTTTAATTAAACTGATCAGACAAAGTAGTGTATTTTAGGAAAATACATTCTGCTTATTGAAAAGGTATTATAAAGGCATCCATATGTGTCAGCGTTGACCTTTATAAAACCTTTGTTCTTCAGGGAATAAGTGGTAGATACTGTGTCACGAAATGTTCTTTATGCTTATGGTTCTAAATTCAGTATTCCTTTAGGAAGTTTAAAACATATATTGGAAATGATTCATCTGCACTAGGACTTCGTGTGGTTGAACTATATATTTTCATAACATGAGAGTTTTGTGTTTTGAATGCTTTTCTACACTACTCACGTACAGTCGAGTGACAATGTCTCTGCCAGCTGCTGAAATTAAACTGAGTGTACTGAAGTTGCAGTGAGATGAGACCAATTGCAGATTTCTAGGAGCGTGTTCTGAGTTATACCTGATAATCAGATTGATTTACAGCTAGGTCTGAATGTCAGGGATTATTTCACTTACAGTAAGGAATACTTAGATACTTTGATTCAGTGCTTTGATGGTGAAGTATCATCAGATTAGTATATATGTTTTAAATTAGGAGTCTTCCTCTCTAAAACTATGGTCCTATTTTTAAAACCTTCAAGACCAATAAAAAATTTTGAAAAAAATGAATAATTATTGTGTTAAGACTGTTTCTTCTTGGACAAGTCCTTAGCAATACCTGCTTCCATTTTGTGCTTGATTTCATTGGCATTGATATGTGATCAGTTAGTGCAGGATACCCAAATATTCAGGTTAATGTTTCTCAGTTTTCTCTACTGCGTTCAACTGAGCCCAAACGTTTTATTCTTAGATGGCTCCTGTAATAAAACTGAGAGGTTACTGAACAGTTAAGGCAGAAGTTCTCAGCAACTTCCTTCTATCTGTGCAGGAAAATGATTAGCTGGCAGTTGTTCTCATATAGGGATGGGACTGTTGTCTGGACAGTGTTGATCTGAGAGGAGAAATCATCAGCTGGTAGGCAGCCTTTTGTCAGATAAAGACTTGTAAGGCAAATGAGTGGCACTGGTTTACCCAGCTTCTGTTAAATATAGCTGCTGTCAATTTTAATTTTCAACTGAGAGTCTAAAGCTTGATTCAGTAGTTCAGTGGATGATGCTTTCAGACGTCTCTTTTGTAAGACACCTGCTGACCTAATTTGCTACTGCACTGTAACTGTGTGGCATCGCAAAACATGAGTCCTGGTCTTTGAAAATTTTAATGTAGGCAGATGAGTAAAAGTTAACAATCTACAGAAAGAAAATCAGTTCTCAAAAATCTTGCTTCCAGTTTCTTTCTTGTCCAGTAGTGGTGATATAAATCTCCATTAGTAATGAAAATAGAACAAAGAACAATGAAATGCCTTGAATAGTGTCAGTAAGCTTTTGTAAAGCTCAAGAGCATGCATTAAAAAATTAAAAAAAAATGAAATATTTTCTGCAGAAGTGAATATAAAAAATATTCCTTTCCATTTTGTATGACTTAATGCTTAAGCTGAAAGCAGCATGCATGGAGCCCTCATGAATGTATAGGAACTTCTTATCCACAAGATGGTTCCTTTGATTTGTTCTCTGATCCCCCAGTCACTTAACCAAAGTAGTACATGTACTGTTTCCTTGAGCTATTGGTTTTACTCAGTCTGAGAGATTATTTAACCAGAGTATTTGGATTCACTTCTCCCTATCAAGAACTTAACTGGAGTATTTACTTTCCTATGGTTCTCTACATTTAAGCTTGAGAAAGCTAAAGCCCTGGCATTTTATAAGGCAGAAGATCTATCACATGTATTCTTACTGTCTGTATTGTAGGTTGAGCTAGCAACTCAAGGATTTTTTTAACCCTTTCAACAAAGGTTTATGGCATATCACGAACAAAATAATTCAAGTATTTTTTATATTAATCCAAGCAGGAAACTTGGAGTTAAATGATTCTTGTACTGTTTTGTATAGAACTTCCTTAAAGGTTGAAATCTTTTGAGTGACAGCTAGGTCACAGAGCACATCACGTGAACCAAGACTATACACTGCATGTGTACTAGGCATTCAGCACAGCTTGTTAGGTGTGATGTGTGCATTTAAGGGCTTTATTAGATTTTTGAGTTTGCAACGTGTAGTATGTTTTTAAAAAAAGGCATCATCGTGGAAAAAAAAGCTTCATCAAAGAACATATAAAGATTCCACTCTTTATTTTAGGCTTGTCTCAACAATGGCAGAAATCCCAACCCTGTGCCACCATTTGTATGTGTATAATCCAGACACAGAAAAACTCATGCCCATCACAATTTAGGTTTTCTAATATAACTTGAGAAGATCAGAAGTGCAGGGGAAGGTAACTATATTCTTAAAGCTCTAGTCTCTCTTTGGCCACTCAGGATTTTTAGTTGCTGCTGTCATATGTGTCATGAAAATGAAAAGGCGTTATCAGTTTACTGCAGAACATCTGCAGATCGTTCATGGATTTGGTTTCTTGTAAGTGAACAGTTATTGGATAAAGCAGATAATTTCACTGCCCCAGCCACCTTAAATTTGATACCATTAAATGGCAAACAGGGTACACTGCAAAACGTGGCAGATACCTATGGAGGCAGGCCCGTTTCTGCAAGAGGAAGGAAATCCAGAAACAAGGAGGAAGAGGTATGCTTGCCGCATGTTTGCCACTTTGCTCATCACATAAATAGTACCATTTTGACCTTCACTGTGCCCAGTTTCCCTGCATGGTTCCATCTGTGAAAAAAAATCAAAGTACTTTCTAAATTCCAAGAAAGTAATTTTCTGTATAAAGTTCTGAAGTTTGGGTGTGTTCGATTGTTTTGGTTTTTTAAATAATCAAAATAACAGTTGTTTACATTAGTCTGTCTCAGAGAGGTTCTTGAATGTGCATTCATTTAGGTATGACTGTTTATCTTGATCTTGTTGTGATAAATACAACCTTTCCTAACCTTCAATGATATAAAATGTAGCAATATCTTAATACTGGGAAGCATACATTCTGATTTTATATATTTTCATTACATGAGAGTTTTTTCTGGAGATTAGTAAATGCTAATATGGTGATAGCGGGGAGGGGGTGTCACTCATTTTTTTGTTGAGTCTGATGTATTTTAAGTTAACCATACTGGAGAGAGTTTCCATATAGCTGAAAGTTATTTGATTTCTTTGCCTTAGGAATATTTGGCAAGATTGAGACAGATCCGACTACAAAACTTTAATGAACGCCAACAGATTAGAGCAAAACTTCGTGGAGAGAAGGTTGGTTGAAAAATAATCTTAAATACTTACGGAAGTTGGCTGTGGGATGTATTCTTTTATCCCTGCGGGAAGACTTTTGTTCTAGGCAGTTTTATATATAGACAAATATTTTAGACATTTAATTCTGTTCCACAGTTAATGTCTTTTCATCTCATCAAGAATATGCAAAATCTGCTTATTATTTCAGTGCTGAGAGTGCAGCTTCAGTGCCTGTTAACTACTAGTGTTTTAAAAACAAGACAGCATAAGGTTACATCTGAATTTCTGAATTTTACATATAAATTTCTCAAGCACTAGCATGTTTATATTTATTTTCTTTTATTTATAGGAGCTTCTCCAGAATTCACTTTTTAACAATGCTTACACAGAATGAGTATGAAGTGATGCTCTTCATACATTCTGTAGTTGTTTATTAAAGTTAGAAATTTCTGACATGAGCTCAGTTTAATTAATATGATTTTTTTCAAACATCAGTTTTCAAAAATATATTTGCAATACAAGAAAACCAATATAACATGTTCATAAAGTAGATTCAGAACAAAAACTTATTAAGATGTAAAATGAATAATCCAAGGCACCCTTGGAAGCAATCCATTCATTTGTTTTAAAAAAAGTTTCATTTAAGAGGCAATCTGTGTAGTAAAAATGGTCTGCAGTTTGTTTCTGTCTTTTCATTAACCTGCTGTGTGATCTCGTATTGTTTTTCCCCTTCCTGTCCATTTGTATTAATAGAGTGTTTAGGCTTCCTCAAGTGATTACCTGCTTATATATTCACATTGTACAGTGTGATTTAAAACTAGATAAACATTCCTGCCCCACCCATCCACTTTAAGCACCTGGATTAAGTGCTGTCATACGTCTTATTTATAGTGAGCGGACATAAAAGAGCATTCTCAGTGCCACTCAGTGTCTTTGGATCACTATTCTAGCTAAAGAGAATTCCACATTGCTGTAGATTTTGGGTTGGGATTTTTTTTTCATGCTAAAATACTGTATTTCTTTTCCTGTATTAGTGACTTTTGAATTGTTTTATTCTCTTTAACCTTGATTGCATCTCACTGGTGAGAAACAAGAGAAGCAAATTCAGTCTTTCAGTTGAGATTCAAAACTTCTTTAGCACACTGAAGAGGAACCCATGCCTCTCTAAATCTAAAATGAATGATCCAAGGCAAGAAGTTATGTATGTTTCTACCTGAGAAGACTATGCAAGCTTTAATAAGATGTGCTGGATTCTGTGTCTGGCAGAGGACCAACATGGGCTGTTCTCCTATGTCTTAAGGAGCGTGAGGAAAATCAATGTCTTGCAAGTCTACAAAGTCACTGTAGGAGCTGGTCAGTGAAGTTCATCACTAGCTCTGACTCACATAAAACACTGAGCACCAGAAGCCCATGCTGTTAATTGCATTTGGTGCTGATTTCACTCTCTGTCTGCTCTGCTGTTTTGGACAAGCCTCGAAACAGCTGCAGTGGGATTAGTAGTCTCCATGCACAGCCCTACAGAATCTTACACTGTCGTGATCATGAGTACTCCTGGAATACCAAGGACAGTGCTAAAACGTTACCAGTATAGAGCCATTACTGTGGTGTTATTTCAGCTTTTTCACCAAGCAACTGCAACACTTCCTCTCGAAATCAAGAGCACCCACGATCTACCTTTAGTGTGGTTAACTGCAGAAGTAAAAGTACTCTCTAGAAACCTCTTTTATCTGGAGGCCTAATCAGCTTGTGCTAGTAAAATCAAACAGAAGTACTGTTACTGTGACCATGACATTCCCTGTATGGCTTATTAGGCCTATCAGGAACCTAATTTCCCTTCCTGGTGGCTGTATCTTACCTGGGGAAGTTGTATGACCCAGGAGGTATGCCAGCTACAAAGGGACAGAGAACAGATTAATACCTTTCCAGAAAAGAGGCATAAACTCATTTTCAGAATTCAGAGACCAAGTTTAGGATGTTTAGGAAGTTTCTTGATGACCTGTGGAGGCTCACTTCTAGAGGAACATCGTCTCAGACTAAATCTTGTCACAGATACGTTTATTTCCTATTGTTGATTGACAATTTTATATGAGTCGCTTCTACTGTATAGAATCTTATTTTATATACAATACATGAATATTCATTCCTTTGCCTATGAAGAGTGCCAGATTATTTTCATGAAGTTTTCTGTTTCCATTGTTCTTTCCATCATTCTTTTCTGTTATCTGGCTGAAACCAATGTGGGCATGATCTTAGTTTCTCAATTTTCATTTTAAAAATTACCTAAAATTCTTGCTTGTGTTTTGCCAAATTAGGCCTTCTAAATAAGTTTATTTAAAATAAAAGATCAGTATAAGTTGGTCATGAGCAGTAAAAAGCTCCTGTCAGAACCTTGTTGCGTGGTACTGTCAGACTAACAGTCTCTAAACAGGAGTATGCAGAGGCCATTGGGAGAAGTGAGAGAGATTGGAAACAGAGATTTCAGAGGTAGAGCTTATATATTCTCATTTGTTACTATTCCCCCCCCACCCAGTTCCATGGTTTTCTTTAAGCACATAGAGTGAACAAAACTGAAATGCTAGAGCGTCAAACCTTTCTTAGATACCTCACCTGCAGAACATGCAAGAGCGATGAGGGGTGGCAGGTGAGAACCCAGCACTGTTACGTCACTTTCCTTGCAACAAGAAGCACATTACCAATCCTCCCCCAAAACCCCAACAATCTCAAAGATGAAGTTCTGTCCAACATTGCATTTCAGTGAGGAGTTACCTAGTGAAATTATGGCCATGTTAGTCATCCAGTCAATTTAAGTGATCTGAGTAGTCACATCACTCAGCTCTTAAACACATGAACTAATGATAATTTTCTGACGACTCTTACTTTGCAGAATGAAGCTGCCAGTTCTGATGGACAAGAATCGAGTGAGGAAGCAGAACTGAAACGCAAAAAGATAGAAACACAGAAGGTAATTGTGGAATGGGAGGAGATGGGAGTTACTGTTTTCAGAATTGTTTTGGATCTCATGAATTTTCTTACATTTCACTTTCCTGTCAATAGTTTGTTATATATCCACTACAAGACAGGTTTTTCTAAACTGTATTTAGGAAACAACTCCGTTCAACTGTTTTATCTCAGTAATTTTAAAATATGCTGAGATATAGCACAGTCTATTCTTGCAAGTCAAGGATTTTCTCTATTCCTGCTTTTGAGATTTATCTCTAGCATAGCTTTAGTCCTAAAGGCAGTTTGGTACAACTAAAATAGCATTTTTGAGACTGAAGGGGAAAGAAAGATGTACCCTAAATAAAGACAACTTTATTTTACTGAAAGAATAATGGAAGGCAAGACTCTTTATATGGGCTACATGTGGATTGGAAGGTGAGCTATATAACCCTGTGATGAAGTAACACTTAAAACCATTTAGCAGAAATACAGTGTTTGGAACTTTATTCCATGTGGTGTTCTGATATCAAAAAACAAGCTAATCTTATGCCCAACCCAAAAACTGGAGGTGAAACAGCAACTGAAGCTTTTTGTGTTTGAGTAAGTTGGTGAAATTTAAACTGCATATTTAATAATTTGTGATTAATGCATTTGGCTTCAAAGCTACTTTTGAGTAGAGACTCTAATTTTACATTACTCTGTTTAAGATAACTATTTATGCTAAAAATATAACCATGCAAATCAAGAACTGTAATTAAATTTTGAGGAGTTGCCATTATTTCAGCATAAAAGATCAGTTGTTGTGAGGTGATTCTGTCAGTGGAGTGCTCCTTTCACAGTCTATACAGTAGTAAGTGAGAGAAAGCAAAATAAGTAATGCAAGAATGTTTCTTCTTAAAATGTTCCATGAAATAGCTTGCTAATGATTTTAAGTTGGTAATGTTTTTACTTGTTTACTGTAGGCCCAGGCAAATGCTCGAGCAGCAGTTCTGAAGGAACAGTTAGAGCGAAAGAGAAAAGAAGCTTATGAAAGAGAGAAAAGAGCCTGGGAAGAACATGTAAGAAAATAAATCCTGTTACATGCAGTCATAGTATGAAGGGCCATGTCTTTGTATAACTAAAATCCTCTACTGTGATTTTTCAAGATGGGATAATTAGTCTTCAGAAACTGAAGAGAGTATCTCATGTCAGGCAGAATTCAGAAGCCTAATCTTAGATATGCTTGCATGAAGAATTTAAGAACATCAAACCTAAGAATTATTAGGATCACCTCAAGTATTTTATTAATGGTCTGTTACTTACCCAAGTGTATTTTATCATGTTTTACTTCTGTATGCTGCAGAGTGACAAGTCCAACTAGTAATATTATGACTGGAAAAAGCAGCATGTGAAGCTGATAAACTGATAGTAGTTCACGTGTGCAGTTGGTGGTTGTCTTTTGTATGAAAATGTGTGGCATTATTGTACTTTCTTAAGGATTACATGAGCCTAATTGGTAATACTGTGTTTAATGTGCAAAGTCTTGAAGTTAATTTGTTGATTTAATTTTTTTTCATTGAATCTATACAGCTGATTGCAAAGGGGGTCAAGAATCCTAATGTGCCTTTTCACGTGGAAGCTACAGAAGGTAGTCCTGTGAATGGGCTACAAGAGCCTGGAGCAGCTCTTCCTAAGCCCCAGCTTCCAGTGAAGCCTGGTGCACCTGTCATCTCCATGACTTATGCTTTGAAGGAAGTGGGTGTGGTACGTACTTTTGCTAAGAAATTATTAGTGGAATTAAAGGAGAGAAAGCAAATATGGATTAAAAAATGTGTAGGTTAGGTAGAAAATAATTGCTAAGGACTTCTGTTGCTTCTAATTATGGAAAAGAAAAAAAAAGAAGAAAAAAATATTAAAAGAAACCAAGGCTTGGAAGGTGTTGAAATACATCTTTACACCGAAACTGAAATTCATGTTTTGAATGAAATAGCTTGTGATGAACCCTAGGCTACAATTTCCATTTTGATCAACTTCCAGCATTTTTATCAGCCTCTCGAAGAGAGGAGTTAAGCAGTTTATGATTTGGTGGAAGTGAGCAAATAAATTTTGGATGATAGGACTATGTCATAATAATAATTGTTTTCAGTGAGTTTGAATGTGTTAAATATAACAGGAAGAAAGAGCTTAAGATACTTGAATCTGTTAGTGTTTCCTCTTCTTGTCTAAAAGCGTATCCTAATTTTTATTTTCCATGCTCTTGGTCCTGATATTGTAAATACTTACATGTTTACCTCAACTGCTCTAAGTTACAATTGAGAAACTGAGTGTAACCTTGACAATTTAGAATTTTAATACAATCTCTGGTTATTTGAATGCTAGCTTTTGTGTTTTTACCTAAGCCATTTCTAGATTGCAGTGTAGTGTGGTTGGTATACACAACCCTGAAGACTATGACTATGGAAATACAGTGAAACTTAGTGCTAAAGAGTGTATATAGAATGTAATATGCTGAAAGATGTCAGTTGGCAGCTGGAAAAATAAATTATGTTTTGACAAATACTTAAATCATTAGCACATTTTTTTCCATGTGGACAGTTTGTCTTACAGTAATGATTACTGTATTTTTAGTCTGTTATATATAACAGACTAAAAATTAGCACACAGAGCAATCAGAAATGGAGAATACAAGCCTTGTACATAAAGATTATAAATTCTGCATTTTTGTCTTCAATTTGTAGCTTGTTTATTTTACATATCACTTAAGTTGTTTCTTTTCCCATCTGTTTTTCTTCACAGGTGTTCCTTGGCTCTGTGCTTGCCATTTTTTTTATTCTCATATAGAATTACTTATTTCTAGCATAGGAATTTGACAATGATTTGCTGCAGAGGTCTTACCTAGCTTTATTTTTCATACTCTGAACTCTCTCTCACTTGTCTGTTTAAACTGAGTGATTCATTTGCTCATCACTTTCAGATAGTGAATGGTTCAAAGATGGAAAATGCCCTTATGGAAAGCCCCCTAAGAACAGAATAATCATACATTCTGTTTCAGTCTATCTGCACTTGTCAATGGAAAGGTTTTAGAGATGATTTTTCACTATTATGTCTATTAATATTCTTAAGATAATTTTTTTCTGACATATTCTTCTACTTTGTATTTCATGCTTCTTGGACCTAAAGGATGAACATGTAACTGCTGTCCAGGAATCTGAGGAGGAAATAAAAAAGCCAGATTTTGCAATGCAAGTATGTCAAATTGTATTCAGTTTCATTTAGTTTTCTTTTTAAGAAAGGCATTATTTTAAGTGACCTATGTTGGCCCTTATTTCAGAATAAACGAGAAATACTGAAAAGATTAAATCAAAATCTCAAAGCTCAAGAAGATGAAAAAGGAAAAAAGGAGTTTAAAAATGTGCCTGAATCAGCTGGGTCTGAAGATGGTAAGGAACAACAAGAGGGTGACCAGCCACTTCTAGGAGATCGCAAAAAATGGGAATCTGGGGCACCTGAGTTGATAGTTCCTCTAGCTCAGTTACCGATGGAAGAATCTCTCTCTGGAACAGAGTGTAAGTACTTTTTTTTGGTCACTACGGTACTAGTAAATCAGTTTGCCATGTGTAGTGTTTGGTTTTATAAAGCAAGTAGTCTTTATTAGTATTATCTTGTTACATATCATCTGCTTCTAAAAAGTAGATGGTTATGTAGTCTCTTGGATAAGGAATAAGGCACAGGCTGAGTACTTAAATGGCTTGCAGGAGATTCATTAAATAATTTCATAATTTCAACAAATAGTTATCTAATTAAATGCATGGTTACTTTCTTTGAGCTTTCTTTTTAAGTGTCTTTTAAATAGGCACTAATTTAACAGAAAGAATAAAAAGCATTTAAGATACATTAAAGTTTCTTATTTAACTTTAAAATCCTTTTATGTTATTAGTAGAATAAAAAAAAATATTTCTCAATTTATAAATGTTACTTCTATCACACCCTTCTTAGCTTTTTCCTTTTTTAATCAACACAGCCTTTTCAAATTTTCTGCCTGCTTTCTCTGTTCTTTTGGGTGGAAGACCTCTTTCCTGGTTTCAGTATGTCTTCCTAAGAGTCTGTTTCACATGGTAGAAATAAATAATGATGTGACAGACTTACTTCATTGCATAGTAGTTTTACAGGACTAGAATGTGAGAAGATCGTGAAACTTCTTTTGCTTTTTTTCTTTGTTGCTCTATATCCTAATTTATAAAAGTTTCTGTATTTGTGTCCCAACAGGTCAAACTCTGGGGGAAGTAATTAAGTTAGATATTGGTGAACCCCACAGGAAAGTCTGGGGCAAGAGCCCTACCGATTCAGTCCTGAGGATCCTAGGAGAAGCAGAGTTGCAGCTGCAAACCGACATACTTGAGGAACAAGATGTAATAAATGGTAAGCACAGCTGGTAATTATCTGCACTGCAAGTGCCAGATTGCCAGTTTATCTACTGAGAACAATTTTGAAGTTATAGAAGCATATTCTTATCTGCACAGTTGCATTCTGCTTCTGGGTGTTGCCTCAGTTCTAAATGTCAGCACAAGCTGATATTGGATGACCCCAAAATATTTCAAACTCAGTGAAGTGGTAAGAAATAATGAAGGATGTGCTGAAAAGGAAGGATCTTAATTTTGCTGAAAAGTCTTGGACTGTGCTTTTTGATAGCAACAAGTCTGGTTTTTAAAAGGTTGTCATCATCTGAATGTTGTATTAGATAGATCCTATAACCTTCTTGTCAGCAGGTGGCTTACAATACCAAGCAATTTTTTTTTTCTGGTCAACTCCTTCATTTTGTTGTTTCTAAGGATGCAGACTTTTCTGTTTTCCTTTAAAGGGACAAAAATTCTCAACTTACCTTATTAACCACGTTGTAGTTTATTATCCAACTGCGTCAAAGCACAGTTTAAATAATAGAATCATTTTCGGTTAGGTACTGCAGAACTTGCTGAAGAAGATCATCAGTCTTCATCAGAGGAGAAGGAAGACAAGGCTTTCTCTGCTGTTGGAGCTCAGTCTTCAGTACCCATTGGTGTCACAGAGTCTCTTGTGACTGTACCAGAAGAATCTAAAAGAGCTGCACCTACCCAGGTGCAAAGCAAACCTATTACCCTAAATGGTAAGTAATTTCATGAGTAATTCTAATTAAAATCTGTTTACTGAATGCAAGTGATGACCCTGTATACTTTTATATCTTTCCACAAGCAATGTGCAGGTTTTTATTAACACCTTTCATGTGGGACAAGGTGCTTTCTATGCCTGTGTTGTAATTTGATTCACTAATGTATTTTGTAAATTTCAAAAAAGCCCACATTTTTTTTTATACTTATAGAAAACTCGAGAGTACAAATGGAATTCTAAAGTGCTTCACATGTTTTGTTGTTGATTTGATCTGTTTTTTTGGTTTGTTTCTCCATATCAGTTGTTCTGGAATCTTTCCCCATATGATACCAGCATCCTTTTGACATCTAGGGGAATGTTCATGATGATTTTAGAAGGCATGGTTCATTGGAGCTTTCAGATAGTCTTCTGGTATCAGAAACAAACTTACAAGCTAACAATACTTCAGCTGTTTCTGCAAAATGCAGAAAATTATTAAAGATGAAGGATTTAAGTGTAATCTTAAGTATACTCTCCCATCTTCTTGCTTGGTTGGAATTAATTTTTAATGAGGTAAATGACTTTATTAATTTTAGAACCTGATGATTTGGAAGCAGAGATGTTGGAAGAAATGGAAGATAAAAAGCACCAGAGTAAGGAGAGTAAAGAATTTCCCATCACTGTTAATGAAGTGTGGGTAAAAGAGAAAGAGGATACGTAAGTACTCTATTCTGACACCCCTCTATCCAGTTCAAACAACTGAGCTTTAACAGTGTTTAAGCTTAGCTAAAGCTTCATCACCTACTGCAGTGTTAGTTTTAATGCACTTGGTGACTTTTTCAGTAATGACTATTTTTTACAAATTGTTTCACCTTGATGTGGTGTTTTATAATAGGGCCCAACGTGACAGAATAAATGAGGCAGCTTTGGAAAAACAAGCACTTGACAAGGTGCAAACACAAAAGGAAGCTCCAGAAGGTTAGTTCAAGCCTCTTGTTCCATTTACCGTGGCTGGCAGGATGGGGTACTTGAGCCTTCCCTTCTGACTTCTTCAAACCCAAAAGAGCAGGTTTTTGTTGTCATTTTCTTCTTCAGGTCCTGCTTCTAGAAAGCAAATTTCTGATGGATTAGGAAGACAAATTGTGGGTATTATGTTTGCCACTTTGGGAAAAAAGATGTTAACAGTAAAGCTACACTGTGTATAGATGAACAGGACAATGGCCCGTACTGATACTTAAGTTTCTAAATGTTACAGCCTTTTAAAATGACTATTTAATGTGTTATGAAATCCGATTATTTACTTAACAAAACTGCTGCTTTGTTTGTAGACATCTCAAATTAATTTTGAGCTGCAGCTCAATATTTTAAGCAGCTACTAATGACAATCCTTTATCCTTATTGCATAGAAGAATTGCTTGTTCTTGGAGGTCTTTGAAGTAACTTAGAAGATCTGCATACTTTACAGTAGAATAGAAAATACATTGGCAATACTGTCAAGTATCACTGGTAATACTATTGCATCTAATTATGTGTGGCTTAAGCAAACTGTTTTGGTTTTTTTCCCACTGTTTGGCTGAATTATATTGAGATAGCTTTGAAGAAATGTAGTATAAGGAAAGAAGCAACAGGTGAAAATGGATGACACCATAATTTCAGGCATGGACTGGATAATGAGGAACCAGGAGGCATGAGAACAGAACAGGCTACAGCTGAGGGCTGTATATTCTCAAAAAGTTTAAATGGGAAAATTTCACATTATAATATATATACTAAAATAATCAAAAAAATTTTAATACTTTTAAAGGGCTATCTGGTTTTCCCTCTAATTGTACAGGAGAATTTAGTTAGTTTTGTTCATTTAAATTACCTTTTCTTTAAGAGCCTTATGTTTTTAATATCTTTAGATTTGTAACAAACTTTCTTTTGCCACATCAGAAACTTGTTCCAGCAACTCTCAGCAAGCTGAACCCTTGTTCCAGAGGGTAATACAGCCAACAGCTGTACCAACAGCCTCACCAGTTCTGTCATCCCAGTCTTCACAGGAAGAGCCTTTTGTACCTCGTTCACGTTCCATATCACCAGCAAAAAATAAAGGCAAAAGTTCATTGTTGATTGGACTTTCTACAGGACTTTTTGATGCAAACGACCCAAAGGCAAGTTTAAAAAACTAAAAAGAAATGGTTTTTTTTTTCTCTCCAGTATTATTCTTACTTGCTTATTGAAGCAGGGTGAGGTCAGAACAGGTGTCATAACTGTTTCAGCAGATGTTTGTATTTGTCTAGTCATGTCTGCCCTGTCATTGTACTGCACTGTGCTCATGGTATCAGCAGGCCTCATGCAGCAGTGAAGGTCTCTGGTTTCACCATTCAGCATCCTGTGTTCTGGGTGTTTGTGGAGGAATGCCACCACTTCTGTGAGCCATAACTGACGGAGTTCATGAAGAAATTCCTAACTTGCCCTATCTGCTTTCTGCCTTTTGTGCAGGTTTTTTGGCTTATCACTACCTTGCCATCATAAACATAATCAGTGAACAGGTCAGCAAAGGTATCTGGCAGCCAAGTGATTGGGTTTTTTCCTGTAGGATTTAACCTACTAGCACAGGTTCTGGCTGTGAAGCAGGACCAGCTACATAGGGTTGAGTGGCAGCTCACAGTCTGTGAAATGAGCATAGGATGGTGGAATCTATTTATAAATAGATCTATGACTCTCATGTTCGTTTCTCAAGAGTTAGTGTATCATTAACTTCCTTAGTTTATGAAGCTGTTTAACTGGCAGCCAGACAATGATTACATAAAACCTAACTTATGAGTAGGGGGGAAGGTGAACATTCTTTGTACCCTTATCAGATTGGGAAAGTAGTGGATATGCTTTATGATGGAGTTCTCCAGTGTATCAATATGAAGTGCTTCAGCATGTCACTTGTTACTACATATTTTGCATGTGTTTTGACCAGAAGTATTTGTCACAGAATTGTCACTGCAATACTGAACGGGCTCCACACAATAGCAGAGAGCTTGGAGAAGAGCAACAAATGTGTTGTTACTAGTGCAGCACACTAAATGACAGAGGGCAATACATTCCCTTTCCTCATTTGGTTGCAGCAAGAGGATACTCCGTGCTTCTGGGCAGTACCTGCAAATGTAACTTTCTGGAATTTCCCAAATATACTACTGCTGCAGCTCACACCCAGAAACTGCAGAAACCTTTATCAGGGAGCAGTGCAGGCAGAGTTGATGACCTATCTGTGGGCAGGTCTGTAGGTTAACAGAAGTAAGCTAATAGGAAGAGAAGCATTTTTCAAAATACCTGTCAAATATGGGGTAATGTCAGTTTTTTGATTGTTCTTTCATTGTAGAGGTCAAAACAGGCAGTTATTCCTTTGGTGACAATTCTGGTCATGCACTGACAGATCTGATATTTAAGCATGTATATGAATACACTGTGCTGGTATAAATTGCAGCTGAGACACTATTTTGTTCATTAAAATTGAGGGGGTTTCATTAGGAGAAAAAAATGACCATGAGTGGATTCAGAGCTAAGGAAAGTCAAGCTTATTGGTAGAACTTCTTAGTGCAGGTCTTGTTTCTTGGTTTTTTCTTAATACTGTGGTGAATATTTAGTATTTTTGAGGTGTTCTTAGACTTCTTAAAAGAGAGATCTCATAGATCACTGAGCAAACAGTTGCTTTGTTTCCATGTTGCTTTATTTTCATTGCAACAAATTACCATTGTAATTTGTACAACTTTCTAATGCTATGAAACTGCTTTGAAATATACTATAAACAAGTTACTGTTTTCAGTGACTAAGCTAGAGAAATAATCAAGTGTCATTTTAAAAAATATTCCTTTGTCAGCTACTTAAGATGGGTCTAACTGGAAGTGACTGACATACATACATTGTAAAAAAATGGCACATGTATTATTTACCTACTGTAAGGTTCCTTTTCTTTAGTAAGCTGTCATGGTAGTGAATAAATCAACACAAAGCCAGGAGCTGTATGGCACTTGATGTTCTTAAAGCTTTTCAGTCACTGTAACCCATAAAGGCAGAAGGAGTGCCTTCCTTTTAGCTGAGAGGTAAAATTCAGTATGTCAAAGTTTCAACAGTTACATTTTCTCTGCTGTACACATTGTTATTTTGAAATTGATCTTCAAATGAAAAAGAAAAAATTCTCATTTTAAAGTATTTTGTAACCTCGATCTCTCTTTAGTATTGTTACCCAGCAGGATTTCTATTACTTTTGTAGATGTTGAGAACATGTTCACTCCCAGATCTTTACAAACTGTACAGAACTTTAGTTGATGTTCCCAGTGTAGCAGATGTGCAGCATCAACATAATCTTGAAATAGATGATACGGAAGATGAGCAAGCCAAAGAAGGACCCTCTGATTCTGAGGATATGTGAGTGTATCAAGTTTATCAAGTATTCTCACAGGCATCTTAGATCAAGATTGGTTAGACACTATACACAGTATATCAGCATGGGGGTTTTTACTCAGATTTTAAAAGTTTTGTTTTCAGTCCCGTTTTACTTTGAGTCTTGTTCTAGAGAATTGAGAAGCTAATGAGGTGGACTGCATACAATAGCTTTCTGAATTTCCTTCCCAAATTCCATCCAAGATGCTACTCTATCTGGCTTCTGCAACTTGCATTTTGGTGAAGCAGCTCAAAATTGATGGCTACTGCTCTTCTAGGAATACAGATTTCTTGAATATTTGCTTTCTATGTATTTTCTGGGAATCTTGCTCATTTATCTTCTCTACTGTTGTATTAGAATGTCCTTCCTCCTCCCCCAGATTCTTTCAGAGGCTTCAAAATGTGAGCCTGGTCTTGACTTTTCCCTGCACCTTGGCTAGTGTGCAGGGATTAAATAATCTGGTATATCTATTCTGATGAGATCTAGATCTCATTTTCTTGCTCCAGACATATTTTTATCTGGATTGGAAATTATACTTGCCAAAGTTCTATAATAGTGCATGAATACAAAGATTTTGAAATTCTTACTAATATAAAGTTGAATTGAGGACTTAGCATCTTTTCATGAGACCGTGGGGTATCTATTTAGCTGATGTTTATTCCCTGTGTCTTGCATGATACAAGGATATCAGTGCTGTAGTCATGTTGGGCTAAGGTCACAAATAGCTGTCTTTTTGTTTTGTTTTGTTTTGTTTCGTTTTTCCCCTCCAGCTAGATTGGCTTTTCAGTTTGCTGCTTAACAAAAGAAATGAGCTCTTTCCACAGGGTTTGTCTTGTAAAGTATTAATTATATAAACTTTATATCACTTTCCTTTAGTATGTTTGGAGAGACAGATACAGATTTGCAGGAGCTCCGGGATTCAATGGAACAATTGCTTAGGGAGCAGCCTAGTGAGGAATTCAGCGAAGAAGAAGAGTCTACTTTAAAGGCTAATGCCATTGAATGCATAACAAATGGTACTGAGCTGGATGAAGGAGATGAAAATAACCCCAGCAGTGAAAGTGCACTTAATGAAGAATGGCAGTCAGGTATAATTTCTCCTATACCTGTTTTATAAGTTACTTATTCATGTTACCTATTCAAACACAGAATAATGTTTTTGCTTTGTAAACTTAGAATGAACTAAAGCTCTAATTAATAGTTTTTATACAGAAGTTTAAAAAAATCCAGATAATACTCAGATTTTCTGAATGTTAAGGTCAACATTTAACCAACATTGAATATTGCAGATTAAATGTTGGCTATTTGTTGGGCTGTGATAGTGCCTTTTTCTCTAGTTGCCTAAAACTTGTCTTCAAGGAAGATCAAAGGCAGAGTGCATCATAGTGTTTTGAATAATTCATGACTGTAAGTGTGAAAACGAAGTAACAATTGACATGACTGGAGTATCCGGGATCCAGCTTAAATTACAATTAAGTAATTTAACAGGCAGTCAAAAGGAACATGAAATTATTCACCTTGTCCCTTGCCAAAATTAGGTATTAATGCAGTCAAACTAAAAATGAGACAGATAAATTTATTACTGCTTTTAGCATTTTGCATTAGATATGCACAACAGTGTCCTGAAGTCTTAGTTCTGTTTTTCTTAATTCTGGTAGAAATACAAGTATTTTACTCCTGCATTTAGAAATACAAGTATAAAAAGATGTAGAGAATCAGTAACTAATCTAAAACATAGCTTTTGTGTACTTTTGTTTCATTGAAGGCAATTTTAAACAAATTGAATGTCTGTGAGTATACCTTTAAGATATGATCTATATAATACATTCCAAGAATTACTTTAAGGTAAAATAAACTTAGGTAATATCTTTAATTTTTTGACAGCAGTGATGTTATACACTGATAACATACAATCACTGTCTGTGATTCTGCTGTTGTTGCAAGTGCTAGTGTTTAATGTCAGTGTCCTACCTTCTAGATTCATGATCCTCCCTAAGAATTGCAAGTTTCATTGTTGAGGGAGGAAGGGAGGGAGGCAGGCCAGCCTTCAAAAGGGTAATGGACAGAACTTGACGCCAAATCTGCTCAGGGTCAAGAAGTTAAAAGAGGATAAGAAGTAACTTAATGGGTTTTTAACCCATATACAGCTTTAATAATTTCTTATTGACTTGATTGTTGATAAGACTTGAATCAAGGATATGATTTGGTCAGGATTATACCCTACACCAGTCATATGTAGGAACTGAAGTAGTAAGAGTTCTAATACTAACTCATGAAGTCTGTGACCTACTAAGCAATACTATTTAAAGGTTTAATAGGACCTGCTCTGAAATCTAAGAATTTTTGTGTTTTTCCCTGGTAGACAAGTTCCGTCCTAATTTAAATGCTTATTTAAGGAAGTATTTTATCTTGGGCAAAGCCAGTTTGAATTTTGTAATTGGATTTTACATAGGGATTCTATCTTGTATTTTTTTAAAAGATCCTTTTTTTTGTTAAACTTACCTAATGTTTGACTGTTATGAATCTATTTGTAAGGCTTCTGTAGCCTATGAGCAAAATCATTGTGACTTCTCTCTTGTTTCTTATTGCACTAATTGGCATCCTGAATTTGTTGCACAAAGGAGATGCACTCATAAAAGAATGAGGAACTCTGTAAATTAGTACTGGGTTTCTTTAGACTTGCTCCATGGAACAAGATGCATCTCAGGGTAGAAAGTAATGGATCTGTAATAAACACATCCTTATTTTTTGCTAGAAGGCAGCTGCTTCATTAAGGAGCTCCTTTCCCTAGCGTGGGTTAGCCACTGAAGGCTGCATGAGTTTTAGCATAGACATATCCGGAGTGGGTGCATGGAACTTGACCCACTTTGCTAAATAAAATTCTGCTTTAAGACCTTACCTTGTTTTCCTTCAGTCTGAATACCCTTATGGGTAACTATCAAAGTGGGGTTTAGAGGAGGTAGCTGGATGCTTCCTATTTCAGATTTGGAATTTCTTTGCTATCAAGTAAGAGACTGTTCCTATTTTCTTGCACGTTGTCAGAACATTTGCCAAAATCATCCAGTGCTGCTGAGCTTAACCTGTTTGATCGCATTAAAAGGATATCAAGTTTAAGGACTTAGAAACAACATTAACAATGCAGGAAAACTGAGGGGGTTTTACTGTTGTTTTATTTCTTCATAGATAATAGTGATGGAGAGATTGCCAGCGAATGTGAAGAATGTGATAGTATCTTCAGCCATTTGGAAGAGTTGAGATATAACCTGGAGCAGGAAATAGGCTTTGATAAATTAATTGAAGTTTATGAGAAAATAAAGGTTTGTGGAATGACATCAAATGGGAAGTATTTTAGGAAACAAGTACCTAGAGCTGTTTGCTGTGACAGTTATTGCATTATGTGACTAGACTCAAAGTTATTTTCTATAGTTTTTTAATCTGTTTTGACACACTAAGGTATTAACAGAGAAAATGCCCTGCCTGTGGATTAAAGAGGAAAACTTTGGGTTTAACCAGGAATTGCATTTAATAAATTTTAAGTATTTGATTATAAACCCATTTTAATTTTGTCAACATGGTTTGTCCCTTCCCCTAGGCTATACTTGAAGATGAAGATGAAAATATCGATATTTGTTCAACCATAGTTCAGACTGTTCTTGGAAATGAACACAAACATCTGTATGCCAAAATACTTCACCTAGTAATGGCAGATGGAGCCTACCAAGAAGGTAATCTCACTGTATCCTGGCAGTTATGGCTTGTATTATGTTCTTTCTTGGTCATATACTACATACTTTTAAAACATCATAGAATCACAAATTATAGAACGTATCTGTACTTTGGTTTTTTTGTATTGTTTGGGTAAATTAAGTAAAATTTTCCACAACTGGCTATTTTTATTCCTGCAACAAAACATGGCAAACTTTGCTAACCACTTTGATTTAACAGAATGTACATGTACAGTCAACTTTAAAAATAATTGCCTTACGAAAAGATGCAGTGTATTATTTAACTTCTATAAACCAGTTACACAGATGGGGAAAGTGAAAATCTAGAATAAAACTTTCAGAATTAAAAACAATTTTATCCTAAGAATTAATGAACTTTTAGCTAAAATAGTATTGTTCTTTCCAAAACACTACTTTTAACAGGTTGCAGTATCACTGCTTTTCTGAAAATTTCATTAGGCTCTATATCTTATAATTATCACTTTTCAGAAGACCTTGATGTGTACGTACCATCCATCTGAGTTGGTGGCTCAGTAACACATGAAGAGAATTTATCTTGCTTTGGAGCTCTGGCTAGCTTATTACAGGTTATGAGGCAGATGGAAAGAGCACACAGACCACTGTCAATGAGGGTGTGGGTTTGGGTTTTTTTTCATTCTCTCATGTCAAAAATTTAACTGCAGTTATGTATTTTTAGATTTCTAATGATGTGAAAGCCTTTACTGGAGAGGGTGTAAAAAAAGCAATCTAAAATCTTAATTAGGTTTATAGAAATCAGAAGCATCATATATTGGCTTTAGAAATGTGTGCAATGATCACTATTTAATGTATTTTGAAAAAAAATATTCAAATACATGTTAACCAGCATGTACTTTCTGCATCTTTTAAATCCTTTTACAAATGTGTTGCAGTAGCAGTGAATAAATGGTCAAGTAAGTGTATGGCTTTCTGTGGCTTTTGTATGTGAATACATGAGGGGGGAAAGTCTTAAAACTAGTTTTAAAAACATAGTAATTTTTTAAAAATTCTAATACAAATTACATTTTCCCAATTTTTCTTTTCTACTGATATAGGACCACTTGGTAAGAGCAATCAATTCCATGTTGTTTTCATGCTGTGTTATAAAAGTGTGACAGAGAAATATCTGAAAATATTTTTTCAGCCACAATTTATTGATTTAATGACAGAATTTGAAAAATATATTGTAGTAGTAGTAGTTCATTTTTCAGGTGTCCAAAGGACTGGCAATATAGAACAAGAAGAAAATGGTTACTACAGTGTCACCATTTTCTTTTCCTTGCCACTCTGCCTTAAGGGTATTTAAAAACTAGTACTAAAAGGCTTAAATGCAAATTTGCTGAGATGTTGGCATATAAATTATAAGCTGTTGTCTGAGTGAATCCTATTAAAATAAGCTAACTTTCATCTTGCAAAATGCTGATTAACAAGTGGCTATTTTTAATAGGTTCCGTTCTAATTCTGCATTTTACAAATCTGCGGTAGCATACAAAAAATGAAAGAAAAAGTAGTTCTTTACATTTCAGACATTTAAATTAAAAGTCCTATGCTAACAGGGGTGAATAGAGGACAAGTGACAGACAGAAGCATCTTCATGAGCTTCTGTCTCAAAAGCTTTATACTCTTCAAATAAGAAAAGTTAGAAAAAAATCCCTATTGCTCTTTCCTAAGAGGATTTTTCTAACTGAAGCAGGCCACTTGAGGTGAAACTATCACTAAATTCACTAATCCAAGATGACACAATGCTCAGTATTTGTACACACAGTGCTTCAAGGCAGTCTTGGTAACGGTCACCTCACTGGTGACAGACTTAGTGGATTCTTGTATTATTGCTTACTAAATTGTGGTTTCTAGTTTGTTTTGTAACCCCAGCTTGACTTTGTGTCTGTGTGTGTCTCTCCTTTTCACACTGTCTCTCTCTTTTTACAGGTAATGATGAATAAACCTGACTCAGGAAATTCCTTAATGCTGTACTACGTACCAGTGTCTGAAGTCTGCACAGCTGAATAACAAATTGTAGTGGAGTAACATGGGGCAGGAGAGGCAAGACTTCAAAAAAGAATGTTGACTGTATGAAAAAGAGGAAGAACATGCCTTTTAAAACTGAGATATCTATGGAGTTCTCTTGTGTGTATTTGCATATGTGTCCCTTATATACTAGGTGCCCAAAATTAATTAAAAAAAACCCAAACAACCAACAACCAAGAAAATCAACAAAACCCCAAAACCTCAACAAAACAAAGAAAAAAAAACCAAAACCAAACCTGTAACGTCTCTAATTCCAAAAGAAATATAGAAAGAAATACCTGTATATATTCTGATTTAAAGCTGAGACCCATAATTAAAATTCTGCCATTAAAATTTCTGCCATATCAACAGTTGGCTGGTACAGTTAAGCAATTGGAAGCATTACTGTGTTGTGGAAGTACGCACATCTGGCTATTCACTTACACACTTCAAATAGCTTTTCTTTACACCTACATAAAGAAATTACTTCATTTTATTGACCCTCATGGTTGTATTTTAACAACATCTTAATCTAGTGGTCTAGTTCAAGTATTTCACTTTTATTGTATTTTGAAGCTGAAGGCTTCTTTTGTACCTGAAATATCTTAATGGTGTTTCTGAATCAAGGCAGACTGGTACGTAAGTCTTCATAGAAATGTCTTGGGTTTTTTTTTGAGATTGTAAAATCCATTTGGAGCTAGAAAACTCTTCTTTCCAGTATTTTTCTTCCTCTTCCCCTTCCTATCCCCTTCCCAAAAATCCAAGTTATTTAGCTCTGTTGAATTTTGTAATCTGGTTGATGGTAATGGAGTACTCTGTTGAATTGAAAGGAGTGAGGGTTTTCCAGTTTGTTTCTGAAGTCTTACTGTTACACTCATGGATGGCTCCAGCAACCACAGAGGAAAATGAAATACTGCAGGCCCAAGTGTTGTGTAATACTTCACATTTTTTGGATCCTTTATTGTAGCTTGGTTTCTACCACCCCAATAGTAAAAACAGGTTTTTTCTGACCCACATTTCCTTGTTCCTCATGTCAAAGCAGTTCTATACAGGGCAGACATTAGGTATTCTGTTGTTTTCCAGTCATTGTCTCTGAAACAACTTTACTGGTTTACCACTATAGTAAGTCTCTTATTACGAATCCAATGAACTGTCAAACTTCCAAGTGCCCTACTGGAGAAAAATAGGTTTTTGGGTGTTTTTCAGCTACAGCCAGTCACAATATAAAACTATCAAAAGTTGCTTTTCCACAAAGTAAAATCAAGTATATATATATATATGTATTTATTATTTAAACTGTCAAAATATGTACATGATTTTTGTATAGTTGTTTTACGATGTCATTATTAAAGTTTTGCCCACTGAAAAGTGTTTTTTTTTTTTTAAACCAATACAATTCCTAAAGGTAGACCAAACTTACTCTAGTTCAGTGGTATCCTGGGAATCTGCGGTCAGAATAAAATGCACAATAATAATTAATTGCCTTTAATGCATTTTTTAATATCCTTATTTACTTGATAAACAGTTCTTGCTTCATCTGACGAGAAAGTGTGATCATTGTTGGAAGTTGTGCTGGTTCTGCCCTATGCTGCTTTCCTTCTTTGTTTCTTTTTTCTTAACTTCCCCCAGTAAACTTTTCACCAGGCTTCTCTTCCATTCCACTTTTCACTGCTGCAAAATCTATTCAGAGAGATGATCCTAATGAGCTACACCATGACATTCAGCAAATACACCACAAAGACTTTAATAAAGGCCGAGTCTGCATTATTTCCTTTTTTTCAGGTTTGATTTTCAAATCATACCTTCCCCTCCTTCTGGAGGAAGGGAGGACCCAAAAACTTTTAAATTTAAAAGAATATAGAATAACTGTGTGGAAAGAAGAAAATATACCAAGTGGTATATTCTATGGGTTTGAATTCTCTCAAGGTGATACAGTTTTATTGAAGTTAAGGGTTTGGGGGGGTGTTTACTTCTTTTTAATTGAAATATTATTATTGACATTCTTAATTTCTTAAGCAATGTGCTGTCTTGTTTCTGGTAAGAAAAGTGGACGTAATCTGTAGACTTGAAGCTTTACAGACATAGAGCATTCTACCAATTAATGATTTGAAAAATACATGTAGATTATGCACAGCTTTTTAAGAATAGTCTTCAAACTTGATAACCAATACTGAATATCCTTGAAATCCCTCAAAAGCTAATTTAAAATTGACACAGTAAATAAGTTTGTCTGCTAAAGAAATACTTTCATCTTAAAATTTAAGTCCATATTTAATGTATGCTATAGTGACACAAAGAATAATGTGGCTTCAAGATGATTTATTGGTCTGTATGTAATTTATTGTAATTAGTTGAGCATTTCAGTTGTAGGCATATTACATGCACTGTGAAGAATTTTCTGTTCTAATTCTAGTAGCAAATTAAGAGATAGAATGGTATTTTTGTCACAAAACATTCTGTAAACTATTTCACATTTATGTCTCTGTCCTCAGATTTTCTTCACCCTTGAAGCCAACTGTAAATTTGATTGAGAAATCTTTAAAACAAACAAAAAACCTTCAGCAGAAAGGAGTAAGGCCCCCACCAGTGAGCTGGTTTGAGCTGAACAGGTACAGAACTCTACCCTGAGCACTGGTGCCTAAAATCTTTTTCTAAGAACAGAGCCTGAAGAGGCTTTTGCTCTTCAGTTTGCTGAACTCCAAGTGCATATTTGAAGTTACTGCTAGAGGGTACTTCAGAAAAATGTACTACCTGGTTGAGCAACATGAACCAAAGCAGAGCACAGACGTTTCTGTAGTCTGGTAAGCGAGTGGCTGATGGAAACCAAGTTCCAGTGTACTCATATTCCTTATGAGGCTCTCTGTGCTCTTGGGAAATCTACATTATTTATCAATAATTCTTATTTCAGCTTTTAGTGCTTCTGTGTGTGAATGCTGTGTGTTTATTCAAAGACGCATTCTCTACTCCCTTCTTTGTTCTAAAGCTTCACAACTTTGCCCAGATCTGTGGGAAGCCAGGGCTGCGGGTTGTCCCGGCCCTTGTGCAGCTGCCCAGCCTGGTGGCAGCGGGCGGGGGGCATGGGGTGTGACCCGCGTGCGGCTTCCAGGGCGGCCAGGAGGGTGTGGGACCACCGGGGAATGTGGAGCGGGTCCTGAAGGGGGCAAACGGCCAGGCTCATTCGGAATGGAAATTCTTAAGTCCCTGTGATTTATGGGTATTTCCTTGTACAAGGCCATGTTCTCAAAACATAAATGCAAATCTTTGTCTGTTTACAAAATTCCCTCGGGTCCTGTCACTGGTCACCACAGAGATCAGTGTCTGGCCCTCCACTTCCCTTCATGAGGATACTGAAGACTGCAATGAGGTCTCCTCCAGGCTGAACAGACAAGTGACCTCAGCCGCTCCTCATACGGCTTCCCCTCGAGGCCCTTCCCCATCTTCATTGCCCTCCTTTGGACACTCTCTAAGAGCTTTATGGCACAGCATGCCCAGTTACCCCAAGTGACTAGATGCAAATTTAAATAAAACAGTACAACACTTTTGCATAGTTGAGATGTTGTGTAAGGTTGGGCTCTGTATAATCTTCCCCTCAGCCAGAGGCTGGGGTAGACACACACCCCTGACTAAATTACTGATTTGTCTCTCTACCAAAAGCACCTCATCAAGGCTCAAATAAAGCTAGGCTCTACTTAATTTTATTAGTTGTGATAAACCAAAGACAAACACAGAAATATGGATTGATTTTTCAGTCCTCTTAAATGTTTTTCTTCTCAAGTGTGTACTCTCAAATCTTATTTTACCATTTGTTTATTCATGAGCCATGTAGACTCAAATTTAGCATAAAATAGAAATCAGTGGTTACCATCCCTAGAACATTTTTTTGCCATTTTTATCATAGCAGTTTAACTAGAGCAATTTGTAGACTTTTAGTACTAGTTTTAAAATCCATAAAGAGCTTCTTCCTTTAAATTAAATTCGTGTGTTAATGCAATTCAGGCTTCAGATGCATGTCCAAGTTGATATGTTTTCCAGCTGAGCTGATGAGTTCATCAATTCAAACTGTAGCACTTAGAAGAGTTGGCTTGTGCAAGAGTTGTAAAGACACTTCTTCAGCAACTAAAGCCTTAATTGAGCTGCTTCCACAAAGACATATTAATTTGCAGTTATTTGTGAGACATACATATTTAGGAGTTCAACTGCTCCTCCTAAATTGCTTGCCTTGAGCACCTCTGATCTGGTGCACCCTTCCAGATTTTATTTCCAAGACATTTTTAAACCAAGATGGGATTTAGCCAATTCCATTAACTCTCTTTTTAACAATGCAGCTGAGGAACTCGCAGAGCCAAAGACTTGGAGAGTTTTCTCACATTAGCTGCAGAACACAAGCTAAAGCCACAGGCAGCTTGCACTGTGGGAAAACTCAAGTGAGGTAGTGTTTGCTTAGTTTTGGGATGGCTCTGACAGTTCTTTCACAAGTTGTCCCTGAGGTTGACTGTATCAAGTGTGAGGTTGGGGCGTTGCATGAGTCACTTCTGCTTGGCTGATGGATGTTCCCTTAGGGACTGTAGTCAGCCAGGAAAAAGTACAGTTCAGTTTTAAATAGCACTGTGGTTCAAACTGATGGAGACATGCTCTGAGGATAAGGGAACCATAATCAGGTCCTTGACATACCCTTATTTTTGCTGTATCCTGCACACAGTCCTGACAGTAATCTCTTCTCTAGGGGAAGGGATGAAGTATGCATTTTGGCTGTATCCTCAGTATAGATTAAAACTTCCTCAAATTCAAATTTTAGGCTAAAAATCTGTGGTTTTATCTCAATAAAATTTTGAATCTCTAGAAATGCTTCAGGACTACCATATTTTCCTTCTATTATCTTCCCCATCAGCAGCCAAATATTCTCATTGTTATTTGTTTTATTGCTAGTAGGACCATTTTTAATGCTATTAGAGAACTTTTGCAAAAGTAAGCTATGCAGCCTTTTCCAAGTGATTGATATGATGGACATACAGAAAAGACAGAAAACCTGAGGTGCTATTAATGATGAACTCTGTCTATTGTGGAGCTCTACCAACAATAGCCCTGATTAAAACTGGTTTTTTTAAACTGCTGTAGCTGTTGTACTTCTCTAAGCTCTGTTTCTTTCTCTGTATGGAGGTGTTTAAGGAAAGACTGGATGTGGCACTTACTGCCATGGTCTAGTTGACGTGATGTTGTTCAGTAAAAGGTTGGACTCTGTAATCTCAGAGGTCTTTTCCAACCCCTTGATTCTGTGATTCTGTAGCAATTCTTGATAAAGATGTCCGAAAGAAATAAAATACATCTAATTTGCCAATATTATAGCACAATTAATCGATCCTTTCCCACTGGCGTTAGGTTTTTTTGCAAATAGGAGTATTTTAATCCTGTTCTTCAAACATTGTAGGAAGAACTCAAAAGATGGAAGTTTACGGCAGCTGAGCTTCTCAATAGCATAAATTTGGACATAACACTGGACATACTTCTATGCCTTTTAATTCTAAGAAATATGAGTATATTTTATTTTTTCATGCTCGATAGTTTTAGAGCCTTATTTAGTAATCTGTGTTTATTGTTAGTAAACATATATGAAAATTATTTTGACAGCAGTAAAACATCTCCTTATTTTTAGCTCTTAGTAATATAGCATTTTTACCAGCTGTGGAAAAGCCTGATTGCACTGAACTGTTTATCCTATTCCACGGTGGACTTTAGTATATCAGTTAATGATCACAGTGCCCTCAATAACTTAATAACTCACTTTATTCACTGCTTAGTCACCTTACCGCAGATGATCACTATTGCTTTCTCTATATTGGGTAATCCTGTTTGTCCAGGAAAAAACTCCAGGAAATTCTGACTCCAGCAGTCTGCGGGGTCAAGCACTGCCAGCTGGGAAAGGGAACACAGTTCAACCCTGCCCCACAACCTTTGTTAACCATGCAGTGATCCTACAGTTTGCTCAGATCATAATGGGCAGATTTTCCACCACAGGCACCATCACCTAGCCATACATACAGTAGTGGAGCATGGATGAGCACAGTTATAAGGCGGCCTTCTCCCTCCCAGTTAAACTAAAGGAAGCTTGAATCAGATCCCATTGTGATCTGTGGAGTTGCTCCTGTTTTCCACCGTCCTTTCCCTCTGGTGACGATTATCGGGACCAGCAGAAGGAAATGAGCACCCACCTTCATGCTTGGGCACGAAGCAGAGCGTCATTGATTAAACTGCTGACAAGATGGGAGTGAGCCAAGGCACCAGACCCTGAGCTACTCTCGGTGAGGACACGAACACGTCTTCCATTCTGCTTATTCTGCCACAGTGAACACAATCTCCATCAGAAGGATGGGATACAACAGATGGAGCTATAACTTAAACCACTTTGTAACAGTTCCTAAAGCTCATCTGTCAAGGATGGTGCCAGACTGCTTATGCAGTGTTAGTAAGAGAAATTTATGTATGAACATACAAAGTGAAATAGGCCTGCCAAGGAGCAAAAGCTGTGTAGCCTGTAATGTTTATCTTGCATTAATCAAGTTGTAATGTATTTATTTAGCACTATTTTTGTTTTCACTTACTGGCAAAACTCCCCACAGATGTTTTATTCTGCCTTACAGCAGTTAAAAATGTGAGAAACGTGTAATTGAATTAGTTTTAAAAATTTCATAATTGTGCAATTGCCTGGTTTATCACACAATAAACTGTGGGGGCTTGTTACAGGGATCACAATAATCTGTAGTATAATACAGGTCAGATCCCTTCCTACCTCACTAGCTTTAACAAAGCTATCTTTGATATCTCAACTCTAGTATTTTCAGCTTAAATTCAGAAGCCTGGCATCAGGGCCTGTAAAATGTGGGGTGTCTCTCCTATCCCTCCAGAAATTCTGCATTTCTGTCTTAATGGTGTCAGAAGAATATGCTGCTCACAGCTACAGTGATGATCATGGAAACTGCAGGTACCTCATTTCTGGAAATTCAACGCTGATGCTTTTGCAGCCTTAGGGAACTGTATTTTCTTGCCATAGGATAACAGAGAGGTCAGTAGGCTTTGTGATCCTTGGACAGAAAACTGTGTAGAATAATAGAATGAACTGGGTAAAAAAATGTGCTGAAAGCATCTGGGAGTTTTTGTGCATACTAGACAATATATTCTATACTCATTTTCTGTGACTAAGTTTACTGTTACCAAGGCCTAGAATTAGCCAAATAAAACAGCAGGGAAACCTTCTCTGTGTTTCTTGCCTCCACTTCTCACTAACATTTTTGCATTCACTCACTCCCTCTTCTAATGGAGGCTGGGGGGAGAGTGCCGAGTACAGCACTAATGACATGAAGGAAAACACTGAAGGAAGCAGCAGGGAGGCCATGGTTTCAACCACTCTCCCTCCCTTGCCCAGGAAAATTTCAGTGACCTCTTGACACCTCCCATGGGAAACTTTAAATTGACAAGAGTATTCGCCAAGTAAATACAAAAAAATGGCATTGAAATAGTATTGTTTCTGACTTAATCCTCCTAAAGTCAATGCAAGTGAGGTAAGGTTCCCGCAGCAGCTATAACGCACTAACCTCATTCCTGATGGCCTTGTATGTGAATGTGTATCAGGACTGATTAAAAAACACTCCCATGCACTCACCAGTAGTCACTTGGGAAACTGAAAATAAAATGCCAAAAATTAAGTTGCAGCTTTTTCCTGGATTATGCGGGCGTATTAGTTAAAACTACTATGTTTCACGTTATGCAAACCTAGTAGAGTCAAAACATTGTTAATCTGTCCTAGGAAAATAAAGGGGAAGGCATTTCATGGTCATTATACCCTGATTGGTTATTCTGCCATGTTTTTGCTGTGGTAAATTACTCCAGAAGGATTGTTGTGACTTTTAGAAAATATTCTGGCTTTATTATATGCCAGTTGCCAATTTTTCTTCTGAAATCTGATCATCAAGAATGGGGAGATACTGAAGTACACTGCATCTCAAGTGTTCCCATAGCAGTTTTCCTCACGCCTAGAGAATGAATTTGCTACCCAGCAACACTTGCTGGTCATCACTAACTCTGATCCTGCTTGTTAATGGTACTAGAGCCAGGTTGCTAAACTGGAGATCTGTGGTTTAGTACTGGGAACTGTTCCTCTTCTTCCTCCCCAGTGTATTTAATTTATCCCACAGAGATAACAGCATCTGTGCCAGTCATTGTCTCATTTGTCTAACCTTCTCTTATCTTTCCAGTCTTTTTTACTACAAGTTGCAAAGTCTTCAATATATGAGGTAATGTGCCTTCATATTTCCCATGCTTGCCATATAGAAAAGGATCAGCACAATAAATCCCATAAATAAGAATGCTTCCAGAAGACAATACTAGATAAAAATGCTCACTAATGTGAACTAACACCCAGGAAAACACCTTGTGCAGGCCGTTTGCCAACAATTCTTTAGAGCACAGCTGCCTTAGCTATATTTAAGGACTATGACATACATCGTGTTTTAGCATAGGTGTGACCTTAGAGAAGAACTGCAGTAGAACCACACAGTTTGCAGGTTTTTGGCACACTCACCCATTGTCAGTGCCCCAGTCCATCCACACACAGAGATGCCGTTCACTTTTTCTGGGACACGTGGGAAAACATTACTTGAAAATGAGTTTGACTATAGCTCATATAAAGTGTCTGTTTAAGAGGTATTTAAGGGCTGATTCTTAGCTAAAGGGATGGAATCCAGCTGCCTGTTTTCTTTGGCCCCAAGAGTCAGTTTGATGTGATTTACATTTTCAAAGCTGACTTCACAATGAAGGAGCTAGAGGCTTGGTTTTGAGGCATGGGGTGTTTGCAGGGGGAGGTGGGGGGCTGGTTGGTTTGTGTGGGTGTTAGTGAGTAAATATTTTACAGCCTGCATTCCTAGTTCCACAAAATCAGTGACTCCAGGCCGTGGGACAATATAAGTAAGCACAAAGGCTGGAATTTATTGCTAGTAGTGATCTATGAGATAAGATTTTTCAACTAAGCCAGTGCAGAGTTCTCTTGCCAGATGTGTGGGAGTGAAAGTGACACAAATCTTTAAAAAAAAAAAAAAAAAAGAAAGAAATCTTTGGCAATCCCAGAGTGATTATATAGCCTTGTAGCACTAGCAGCCTCGGAGAATTCATTTTGTGTCTCAATGTCCTTATCGACTTAGAAGCCAAGTCTCAAGCTTTATAAAAGAAATCCAAAGTAGTGCCATGAATACTTCATACATTTATCTCACTTCCTTAATCTTATTTTGAACAAGGGAAGTTTTAGGGTCTTCTATTCTACATTCCTCTGTTTGTAAAGAACTGTGGTAGCAGAATGATAGTTATTCTGCAAAAAATCACTGGGCAACTTGTCCCTTTATTACCTTACTTTCATCTCAAACTAATTAAAACCTTTCTTTTATAATCACGCTTTAATTAATCCTTGCTTTTTGCTTCTAGGGTATCACATACAAAAGCACAGCACATGGAGGGTACACTGATCATGTCCAAACCTCTGCCAACATCCTTCTGGAAGTGTACTAGAAACTGCAGAGAACCAAAGTTGTAAAGGAGCTTCCGTACCTTTCAGACAGCCAAGAGGTCTAATTTGTGCTAATGGGGATGCAACTTTCCTTGGAGCTGAGGATACATTCCAAAAAGGGATGCTATAGTCATGTAAAATGCTTTAACTTGGAGTAAGGACGTTGCTTTGACTAGTTTGGAACTAAAATGTTTGTGCACTTTAAATGCTGTAACACATTTTAATTTTTTATATCCTAGTACACAAATTCTTACAAAACCTACCTCATCACTCATGTGTGACACCACAGCAGAACTGTTCAAGTATGGTAGAGATGTCTGAAAAGTAAACATGCTGATAATTCTACTTGCCTGTCAGATAACTCTGCCCAGCAGGCACTTTTAGGAGGAAAATGCTATTTTAAGGAAATAAATCTCTCTGGAAAAAAAAAAAAAAAAAAAAAAAAAGCTAGCTGAGTATGCTTTTAAGAACTAACTTGCCAACTATTTTTTTTTTTTTTTTGGCAAACAAGCTATTGCAGCACTTGAAATTCTAAAATAGCTTAGTTTTGGATTTAAACAAGATAGCAAATTCTTCCTGTAGATTTCGCTCTAAAAACACATGAATTTCATATGGAAAGATGTCACATATTTATCCTGGAGCATCTTAACAGTCCCTGCTCCTAAGCCTGAGAGTGCAGCACAGCTACATTCAGACTCTGTTCTGGGACAAAATCCAAACCAACTCTCACTGCAGAGGTGATGTAGGTGAAGGGAGTATGGAACTTTTCAACAGATTTCCTGATCTGGACAGTAGGAGGAACTGCAGGACTCACCATAAAACACACACAAACCACATTATAGACATATTACTGCTGTTACCATACATTTGTAATGTGTTAGCTTTAATGACCACAGAAGCACAAGTGGTTTTTAAAAGTTGCTCCTTTGTAAATGCACTTCCAGTAAATGCTCTTAGAATAAGACACTTTGAATAAGGTGTTTGTTAAAACCTGCAGAAATTTCTGAGTTTTCATTATGTTGTCATGCAGTTACCCAAAGGAGAGATAATATCCTTTAAATCACCTGTTGCAGAGCCTATGCTCTGAGTGGACATGAAAATTTCTCATTTAGGAATACTGAAGGGGATGTTCTGAAGATTTATTTGGTGTGAAAATATGGATACGTCTGAGGTTCCACCCTGTTACTTTTTGGAGGATCCCAAGGCTTTGGCCAAGGATGTTTGCTCTAGGAGGGTTGACTGAAGGACCCCTCTAGATAAAATAGCACAGTGCTGTGAATTCTTCCCTGTTTGTGAAATTTGCTGACTAGCTTTGTCTTCTCACAGTATTTTAGAGAGTGAAGCTGTAGTGCTTTCCTAGAAATACAAAATATAACAAAAGACAGAATCCAGGAATTGTAGGTCTGACATGATGGATACAGACTTCTCCCAACATCCACAACCTCCCTCCCCCTGCACAGTCCCTGTGCAAAAGTGCCTCTGACTCTCCTCAGCAATTCCACCTCCTCCTATCTAAAATTGCAACATTTTTTGTTCAAATAGTGTATGTGCCAAGTATCCGGTCTCCAGACGTTCGGCTTCTTTCAGATACTTTGGTAATGAGGTGTGGTAATGAAGACTAAACTTTGATGAATGCTGAATATCCTTTATGATGTTTTTGCTTATTTAAAAAGAAAAAAAAATTCTTTGGGCCTTGCAACTCATCTCATCTGTTTGGGTGTTCAAAGCTCCAAACACTTGTCACAATTTTCCTCAAAGATAAAACTGGACTTTAGTCATTCCAGCTCACTATCATTAGAAGTGATTAATTACAGTCCTGCCTGATCTCAGTCTAGAGTCAGTAACGCAATAATTTTACTTAAATATTTATAAGATTATTGGTTTACTATTCATATGAAAGAGCTTTACCCATAACTTGAATGTAACCTTTGCAAGTGGGGAAAATACTAATAATTTTTTAATATCTTACAATTTGCTAACAATATAGCTAACTATTAAAACAGCAGGTAAGCATCCCAAAAAGTCTTGGGCAGTCAATAATTCTAAAGCTACATCCCAAATCACTTATGAATCTTTGGGAGATCAGATCTAAATGGGGTTGGGAGATAACTAGAAAAGGATTGAATAGATAATCCGGCATGCTCTGTCCCCAGGAACCTCCCCTGTGGAGACAGCACTAATTCTAGAGAGGCAAAGGAGCACTGGGACTGACTCTGCAGCCTCATAGATTAGGTCTGTGGCTTATCAGCTGCAGGCAAGAAAGGAAAAAGATCGTTTGATTTCAGAATAAGCTTATTAAGAATGGATTTTTATGTTTCTGTTCCTCTTCTAAAATCTGTAGCATCTCGTTTGATTTCTTTAAACAAGCATTCTTCTTTGCTTTTTCTTTAACCTTGCTTTTAGTAAGGGTGATTTCCAGCTTGACCACCTACATACCCCAACACCTTACTGCATTTCCACAAGGTACAGCACTGAATGCTGCAGCTAGGCTATGGGGATCATAAGCACCCATAAGCCTAGTGTTTTCCTGTAACTAGCCTGGTGGGAATGTCTTGTAACAAAGAGCTCACCCAAACTCTGAGAAGTTGTAACATGTTTATTCTTGAATGACACTTTTTCTATCGCATGTTCTCTCCCTGGGACACAAATTAAGTTATTGCAAAAGCATCAATATGTATGAAGCTACAATTCCAGCTTCACGTCGTCAGAGAGGGCCAGTTCACAACATTAATACACAAATGATACTCTCATCAAGAAAGCTGCATGCCTAGAATACAGAATAAAAATCTAAAACTAGAAGCCAAAATGTACTGAAGGCACAACCCATTTCTCCTGCCTCCTCACAAACATCAGAACAGCAGAGACCTTTTTGTTAGGATGCAGAAGTCTTAAAAGTACATTTGTCACTGATCTCATCAAAACAAGTTCACAGCCCAGAAAGTGCAGTAGGGATAGCCCAAAACTCAGTTTTGCCAGCAAACCAACTGGATCAATATCAACCATGCTGAGCTCCATGCTGCTAGAATATCACCAACAGTAACTGAGCTAGGTAATTTAAAACTGGCACTAACTGAAGAAAAAAACAACCAAAACAAAACACCAAAGCAAAACCAAACCAAAATCCCCTCAACACCCTCAAAAAAACCCAAAACCAAAATAACAACAAAACCCCCTCCCATAAATTCTTTAACAAAAAAGGAACAAAGACACTGAAGAACATCTGCTCATTTCCACCAGAGACTGAAGAAAGTTGGCCATGCTTCACGATGTGCTGTACTTGCCAATGTAAAGCCAGGAAGATCAGCATGGCCATCAGTGGTAAAGTCTTACTAAACAATGTCAGTGGGAATTTTGCATGGCCTTTGAAAGGGGATCACCACCACATCTCCAGGGGTCATTTTACAAGGAAATAAGATTAACCTTTTTGGTTCTGTGCTTGAGATCTATATTGCATGGGAAACACAGGCTAATGTGGACATTACAAATGGGGAAACATGATCCTTTCTAATAGGAAAAAAAAAAGCTATAAAATAGTTTAGTACAAAGAATGTAGCTCAGAACAAAAACATGCTTATGAACCTACAAATAAAACCAATTCAGGCTATGACTGCCACAAGACACTATCATCTGTTGTATTTTCTTTCTGATAAGACATAACACGTTGTTCCTTGAGTCTTTTGTAGTCGTCTCAAGACTTTCAGGATGAACTTCACAAATAAATTAAATATGTCTTCATATGTTTATTCTCACAGGCCAGCATTTCTCTACCTGGCACTCACTGAGTTTTGTTTTATTACTCTAAATATACATATTGCTAACATGACTTTTTCAGTCACATTATCCCTGCAGGATATCTCTGCCATCAGAAACACAATCTTCAGGGATATTTCTTAGGATTAGAATGGAGATTGGACCTAATGTTGGTTTTAGTGCATTAGTTTACAAATTTCTTTATGTTTATAAAGATTTGCATGCTGAAAAGTGGAACCCTATTCTGAAATGTCTCATAAACTACTTCTTGGTTAAATTTCCTAAGGAAGTCAATGTAGATGATTATAGAGTACATCTCATAGCCCCTCTTTCAAAAAATAATTCATTAACAAAACCTGATAGAATATTTGTAAAGATATTAAGATAATAGAAGTTGTATAGGAAACAGTGGTCATACCCAGAAATTATATAATACTGAATGTCCCCTCTACAGAAAAAGGTGCAGCAAATGTCAAATCACCTCTTCTCATGAGCCTGACAACTTATCAATTAGCCGGTGTTGCTGAAAACTAGGCACAATATACACTGCCTCACATTTTAAAGGCAGAGGAAAAGCTAAGGGTACTTGGAAATGTGTTAGAAACAGGAATTATTGCAGTAGGGTTTAGGTAGGAATAGAAAGTGTGACTGTTTCGACACAGCAGGCTAAAGACAAGGGGGAGGCTTGTAGGTTGGTTGGCCCACAGAAGAAAAGGAATAGAAGGTAAAAGAGAAGGAGTACAGAGGACGCACTGGGTTTGTTGCACCAAGGATGCTGATACAGAACAGAGAAAAAAGAAAGAAACAAGGTGTTACCCGTTCTTTCTGCTACTGACATTTTGTCTTTTGCTGTTCTGCCTATTGTCCTTCGCATCTTCCTTTATTCCAGATTAAGAGATGCTTCCAGATGAAGACAAACAACCTACATTGGAGAAAAAAATAGTTTTTGCCTGAAAACCAACTTCAGAAGTACAATTTATTACAGCAAAAACGTGTAAAATACAAAATGTTAATAGACAATATAATCATAGAAATCCAGGAGTTTGAGTGACCGGAGGGCCTCATCTTTCAAGTCTGTGTTTTTATTGGATTTCTGCCCTGTACAATCTCTCCTTCGCATTATGCACTTTAGTAAAAGTTGTACAAGGAACTGTATATAAGAACGGAACGGCTTCAAAAAGGTAGGTCTCCTCACGTAAGACTTTGCAAAGTGTACCGTTCCCTACTTGTGGCTGGAAGTGAGAACGAATAAGCGTTTCAATGTAACAGCAGCTCTGTTCCTTTCAGTCCTGGCGCCAGACTGTTCCAGCCTCTCTGAGTCAAACACTTCAGCCTTAAGAGGGCAGTGTCATACATCTGCACACACCCCCACGGTTTTTTACATGGATTATATTTGTTTGAAAATTAACTACTGCTGCGGCTCAGGAAGTAACATATTTATCTGATACTCTTCAGAGTGTTTACTGCTTTGGCTTATATTCCACAATATATTTAGTATTTTACAGACTTTACACAAAACACTATCAAAGACCAGCCCTGATGCAGGGGTAATCTTTTTATCCTGCTTCCCTGAACTTTCATCTTGCTTCCCTGGTGTGCTACCTGTATTGTAAATTCCTCTACCGTTTTACTGGATATTTTACATTCCTTAGGCAGCAAACTAAGTTTGGACAACAAGAATTGTGTTGCTTATAAAACTATGCTGGCAAATTATTACAGAGCAATCTTTTGAAAAAGCTACATCTAAAAGAGAAATCCAATTGGGAGATGAAATTTTGTTTAGATTCAACAGGTCTCTATTTTTAATGTACTGATTATCCTTCTTTCTGTAGCGAAAGCACTGACATGAGACAGAGGAATACTATGGCAAGACAGAGGAGTACTATGAGGCATGGGGATATTCTTACATATCAGATGTTTATACCCTATTTATGTTATGATATTCCCTGGAAAGCACAGACACAGACCAGAAACCCATCTGTGTCAGTTTTCCTAAACTCCAGAATTCATGGGGGAGGAAACCTTATTTCTTAATGAACTGTACATATTTAGCAGTTTCAATATTTCCACTACTACTACTAAAAATTAAAATATGACAGATACATTCAGTGCAAGCAGTTATTTGGAAATCCTAACAATCAGAGAATATCATTACCACTGGAAACCAAGTTAACACATCCAGAAAGCAAGACAGAAAAGACTGTCACTCTATCAACTTACACAAACCTACACAATCCAGTGTGGGGCAGGGGCAGGAGAAAGAGCTTTTTACATATACACAGAATTCAGTGAGGATGACAAAAACTTAAAATCACAGTATACCCTGAATTGGAAGGGATCCACAAGGACCATCAAGCCCAGCTCCTGGCCTGCACAAGACGGTGCCAAGAATCCCATCACGTGCCTGAGAATACTGTCCAAACGCTCCTTGAACTCTGGCAGGCTCCCCTGGGGAGCCTGTTCTGGTGCTCAAACACCCTCCATGTGAAGAACCTTTTCCTAATATCCAACCTAAATGTCTCCTGACACAACTTCAGGCCTTTTCCTTGAGTCAACTTGAATAGCTAAAACTACACACAAGAAGGAAGCTTTCAGATTGCTTCCTATTTGAGTTGAAGTTGACAAGATGATTACTGAAACTTAAACATTTCTCTAGACTTTTTCACTATCCACAGATGAGGTGCATCATCTGATTAAAAAAAGAGTGTTTTTTCAATTTCTTTTTGCTGTTTTCTTTTATGATATTTTGCATGTACCTTGGGTTTTAGTTTCTCCTTCATTCCCACAGTGCTGTAGAGAAGTATTTCACATAAAACACCTCCAAAGCAAGCACATCATCTCCTAAGGCAATTGGTGAGAGGCACTCACCAATCTGGAGCAGTTTCTGGCATCGCTTATTTCAATCACAGAATCGCTTATCTTGGAACAGACCTCTAAGACCATCGAGTCCTACAGTCAACCTGCCAAGCCCACCAGCAGCCATGCCCATGGACGTGCTGCCACTCAGCCTTACCAGCAAAACAGGGTCAGGCTGCAAGGGCCCAAGGGGTCACTGTCGCACCCGAGGCAGCGATGGATGTGATCAGGCACCCACCTGTCTCCCTTTCCTGCCTGTGCCCACCACCGCCCAGGGTGGGAAACACCGCGGCCTCCCCGCGTCCCGCCGAGCCTGTGGGACGGGCAGCGGGAGCTGTGGGCGGGCAGCCGTGGGAGGGTCAGGGAGGGTCCCTCGCCCCGCACAACCCCTCCCAGCCCAAGGAGATGTGTCTCCCTGAGCGGGCCGCCGTGCGCTCCGGGCCCCCCCGCTCCTCCGGCCGCAGGGCCTCGCAGCCGCTCCGGGCGTGACTCACCACCGACAGCGAGCGGGGGCAGCCCTGCGATCGACCGACCACCCTCCCCCTCTCTCTCTCCCTCTCCCCTCCCTCCCTCTCTTGCTCCATCACGCCCGCTTCCTCCGCCGCCACCTCCACGCTGTGGGCGGCAGCCCCAGGTGCGTGGCCGCGCTGCCCGCAGCACACAGCCGGGCGGGGAGCGCCTCGCGCCCAGTCCCGGGAAGCCGCCCGTGCTCTCCCCCGCCCCGGCCACCGCCCACAGCACCTGGCGAGGTGGGGAGGACGGGCCTGCCCCGCGCCGGCTCCCGCCCGCGGGGGGCGGTGCCGCCGCCTGGGACCCGCCGGGCCCGCCCTCCGTCCCTGCCCGCGGCCCCTCGGCGGGGCGGTGCCGGGCCGCCCTTCGCGTCAGCGGCCCCTGCGCGGCGGGGCGGGGAGGGCACGGGAGTCTCGGCGCTGCCGCGGCGGGAGAGGCACCGGCGGGGCCGGCGGCGGCTCCTCACGGGAACAAAGCGGGGGCGGCGCGGCCACACGGTGAGAGCCGGGTGAGGGTCGGGGAGGGGGCGGCGCTCGGGCTCCCTGGGGATCCCCCGCACCCTCGGGGGGCGGCTGGGCGCGGCGGAGGGGCCGCGGGCCCGACCCCTCCCTCCGCTCCGCGCCTCGGGGCGGGCTGACAGCGCCGTGTCCCGCCGCCCGCCCCCGCCGCCCGGGGTGCCGTCCCCGCTCGCCCCGTGTCCCCGGGGGGACCCCTGCGCGCCGCCCGCCTGCGGTTCGCTGTGGCCGCGGGGTAAAGCCGTAGATCGGGGAGGCGGCCCGGGCGCGGAGCCCGAGAACAGGTAGGTGCGGGACGAGCGCCCGGCGAGCCGGGAGAGCCGCTCCCACAGGCGGCTGCAGGGGCTGGGGGAGGCGCTCAACTTCGCCCGGTGCTGGACACTGCCGAGCTCAACAAGCCTTTTTCTGCCTGTGGAGCAGCTTAATGTGAATGATTCCTTTTTTTCCTTTTCTTTTTTTTCTTTTTCCTTTTTTTGGGGGGGGGAGGGATTTTTTTAGTGGTGGGGTTTTAGGGCTTTTTCTACCCTCCCTTTCCCGAGCTCCTCGCTGCATACTGGAGCTGGCTTGGAGGCTCGTCCCTGCCTCTGGCTGCATACGCAGCACTCGTGTTGTCCTAACGATATGGCAGTAGCACTTCCTGCTGTAAATCACTTCGCGATAGTTTTTGAAGCGCTTCTTAAAGGCGGCACTGTAATGAACCCTCTTGTCGGTGCGTATGGTAAGCTTAGAACCTTGTGAGCTGGAGGCTGTTTTCAAGGCTCATCTGTGTATGTGCTGCAGTACTTTTCACAGAAATGGTAGAAATGCAGTTCACTCTGGGCTTCATTTTGGCATAAATGTAATTCCCCTTTTTATGCCCTGTTGGTGTACGCTCTCTAATTTTGGACTCTGTTGTAGTTACCTTTTGCCATCTTGTTGTGAAAAAAAGTTAATTTCAAATAAATGTTCAGAGAAACTTATATATTAAGCAAGAATTGTGAAAAGTAATCTTCATTATACTACTGTACTGGGAATAGCTCTTTGTTCTGGAATAATTTGAGAAAATAAAATCACTCAAGACTGAAATTTGTGGGAACTTGAGTTTAAAAACCTTAGCTGTTAGCATTTGTTAAAATACTTTAAATAGATATGTTAATGTAGATTGCTATTATTATTGCTATTTTGGTGATTATTTAATTTATTAAAAAATCTTCTGAATTAGTCTAGAGATCTTTTATTTTGCTCTTTATGTGAACATTTTCATATAAAATGGTATTGCTGACTCTTTTCCCAGCTTATTAATTCCTTTTTCCCTCAAAAAATTTTAGAGCATGGTCAGAAGAGGAATGGATGTAACATGATATCCTTGCAGTGCCCAAAACACACTAATTCTGCGAAGATTTGTTTTTTCATTAAGTAATACAAAGAAAATGGATGAATCAGCTTTGCTGGATCTGTTGGAGTGTCCTGTTTGCTTAGAACGCCTTGATGCTTCTGCAAAAGTCTTGCCTTGCCAACACACGTTTTGTAAACGGTGTCTGCTGGGCATTGTGAACTCTCGAAATGAGCTTCGATGTCCAGAGTGCAGGACTTTAGTGGACTGCAGTGTTGATGAACTCCCCAGTAATATTTTGCTTGTTAGACTACTGGATGGCATCAAACAGAGACCTCGAAAACCTGGAGCTGGAGGTGGGACTAGCAGCACAAATGCTTTAAGGGTCCCCATCAACACTGTAGCTAACTGTGGATCAAAGGACCTGCAGAGCTCTCAAGCTGGACAGCAGCAAAGGGTGCAAGCACGGAGCCCTCCTGTAAGGGTAAGTACCATGTGGTGATAGTATTTTGTTGCATTCCTGTCTTTTCCTCACCATTTCAAAATGGTTGATGGCCTCTGCTTCAGGGTAAGGGCAGTCAGGTAGTTAATACAGAAAAATAACATATTTCTGAGAATTGTTGTGGATTTCAAGCAGAATACATCAGTGCTCCTATAAGTATTGGTTTATTGTTATGTAAATACCAGTAATAATACTTCCTTATTGAAACTTAATTTTTGAGGTAAGTAGAAGAAAAGCATTTCAGACTCTTATCTGTCCTATTAAAAGACAGTCAAATAGAACAAGATAACTTATGTGGAAAGCTTAAGTAATTTTTAAGGATAAACATCTTCTGAAGAACATGTGCAATTGTTCTTAGTTTGTCAACTGCAAGATTAGAGCTTTCATTTTGGGTCATGCACTTTCTGTAATGAATCTTCCTATCAGTAAATTTCCTTTGAGTTAGACATAACAGATGTTAAACATAATCAGGAAAGTGATGTTGTTGAAATAGATAAAGGTTTTGCCATTGGCTTCTAAGTAGCTACATTTTTACTTCTTTTCCTTCAAAAAGATATGTTTGAATTCCTGAGATCTGGTAAGTTATTTACATTGACAGTCCCCACCCCTTCTTTAATTAGTTTTTTCTCAAGGTATTTTTTTCCAAGTGATTCGGAAAATCTATGTACCATGATGAGAAGACATTGCCTTCTTTCTATACTCCAGTATAAAAGTTATGCAACCTGTAGACTCTGTCATACCTTATAATCAAAACTCAGTAGCCTCATTTATGATTATTCATTCTAGAGCCCATGTCAGGAAATGCAGTTTCATGAGATGACAGACCTTGCTCTGTTTTATCTAATGACAAAGCAGGACAGCTTCTCTGAAAGGTTTTGCTGCCCAGTTTGTGATGCATGCATATTCAGAGTTCCTGTGTTTGAAGTAGAGTTTTTGAATGGTTTAGGTGGTTTCCATCTTGTGGAGTTTATTTGATTTTTATGAAATATCTTGAGGAGTTCCAAGGAGAGGGCTGGAACATGTATTTGGCAGGACTAAACTTTATTTTAAAGTGTAGCTGAATTATTTAGTTTGCTTACGCAGTGAAGAAAGCCTTAGCGTTGATTTTCCTGAGTTTTACTTACGTGATCAGAATATCTCTGAAAGACCTTCAATACACCTCTTAAGTTTGCATGAGGATTTAAAATACTATTTTTTTTCCATTAAATGATATTGTTTTCTCTGCTTGCTAGAGATCTCATTAGGTTCTTTACTTTAGAATATAGAAATGGTAATTATGAACCCACTTCCCGTTAATGAGTTTTGTTCTGTATATATAAATTGGTGAGGAGAGAAGGTGATCTGTGGGGTTTTTCTGTTGATGGTTTGTTTTTATGTTTTTGGTGGGTTATTTCCAGGAGGTAGAAACCTTAAAAAGTACTGCAAAGAAGCATCAGCAGTATCAAAACCAGTCTGGTCTTCTCCAGAAGTTTAAGATGTTTATTGTGATACCTTGCATTTGCAAAAATCTCGTCAACTTAAAACAAAGCAAAATACCCATAGGACTTGTCTATATATATATTTTTTGTGTCGACCTTTGTACGTAACTGTATTTTCAGAGACTGCTTCTCCTTCAGAAAGGCTTCCAGTTCAGCAGTGTACGTGAAGAACTGCACTTCAGGGTTTCTCAAAGCCTTATTAGAAAAAATGACTTGGATATGGAATATTCTCTCTTTTTTAATGTTTTATAATATCCTGTTTTGCAACATTTGCATTTCCAGATGTTGCGCGGAGTAGAAAGTGATAACATATGGAAGGTTGCTTCAGTTTATTAGTTATGCTGTACCGTGTGCCATTAAAATTGTGACCACGTGCATTCCTTATGTGATTCACTGATAGTATATATTAGTTTTCAGTGTTTTACAGTAAGTCTTCTTACATCTTTGTTTGCAGGGGTTCGCAGGCACTCTTGTGCCGCCTTTCCTTTGGGAGACAGGGAAAGATGATGATCTCATCTTTTGTCCACTTCATCCAGAGCCTTTTTTACTAGGAAGGCAGTACTTTTAAGAACACAAATTGACTTTGACAGATAAGAAGGTGGAGATATGAACTACTTTTTTTTTGCTATATGAAAAGTGTTAAAAAAAAAAAAAAAGCAAAATACCAATTTAATAGACAGTGATGAAGTGAATGCCCTATTTGCTTTGCTAACTCTTACACAAAGATGCTTGCAAACATAGTTCCTCTCTGGGAATTGAAGAGGAAAATCTGTTTCTAGATGAGTGGCAGAGTCAGATTTCCTAAACTAATTTTGCTGAAGGGGAACTAGTAAATGAAAGTTTCTGTTTTGTTAAATGAAGTGAACATGGATGAAGGCTGTCAAGCCATAAACATTCTGCTTATACCCTGAGGTTATACTAAGCTCATAAATGCCCTTTCAGAGAATGCCATAATTTTCAGAAGAAGTTAATATAACATGTACTGCAGCATGATTTCCTGAACTGTATCAGTGACTGTGGAGTGGCCAGCCCTGTTACTGCACAGTGTATTGCATTCTCTGTATGTACGTGGTGACACATGGCAATAAACAAACTAATGGTTCCTTGAGTCTTAAAACTGATGACGCTGGGTGGGTGGTGGAGTTAAACAAATCTCGTGCCTTGTATTTCCCCCACTGTAGTAACGCTGTTTCTTTCTGTAACCCTTACAAGCTTTCACTGCTGTAACAACTGCAGTTCATCCCTCTAGGTTCTTTACCTATTTCATTTCCCTACTGTTTTGATATGTAAAGCCTTCTGTGCCTTTCCTTTGTACTGGTTGGACAAAGGCAGCATCCTGCCGTACCTGATGGAGAACCTGTGTTTGTTGACTGCCCAGCACTTCTGTTCTGAGCAGTCAGCTTGCCTGGGAGAACAAATAAAATAGTTATGCTCATACTGCAACTTCCTCTCTTGTATGGATGCTGATTTAATGCTTTTCTCCTTCTTTTGAAGTGAAAACCTTCAGCTAAGTTGTCAGTTTGGAAGAGCTGA